GTGTAAATGGATCTAACTCTTTGAACGTACAATAGTGGTTGTGAAGCAGAAAGTCAGTTTATTTAGCACAATCGGTCAATTGCAGCTTGCCGTTGGCTGGAAACTGTACGTTTGTGTCACTGGAATGCACTAATCACCCAAAAAATATTACCGCCAGCCGGCGTGTAAATGGATTTAACTCTTTGAACGTACAATAGTGGTTGTGAAGCAGAAAGTCAGTTTATTTTGCATAATCGGCAAACTGCAGCACCAACTGTGCACGACAGCCACCAAAAAAAAAAAGGGTGTATGTCACTTTAAATTTTCGATTCTTTGATAGCTGTGGCCCTGAGTAACGATTCTGTGTCCCTGAGTAATGATTCTGTGTCCCTGAGTAACGATTCTGTGTCCCTGAGTAACGATTCTGTGGCCCTAAAGTCTCTGTGGCCCTAACTCTGTCCCTTAATACAGACAGGTCTGTCTCTCTTGAATGACCGGAGGCTAATGGAGAATTCTAAGATGGCCGCGATTTATAGTGCTGGCTGGCTGCTGATTGGCTAATGCGATCACATGTCATGAATGCATTATGGGTCAGCGCGCCTTGTCTGCGCGCCTTCCCAGAGATCCCCGCCCCATCTTCTCTGTCCATTTTCTCCGTGGCCACACATGTCGCCGCCATTTTTGGGAAAATTCGATTCGTGCATCCGAAGTTTTGCTAATCTTCGGATTCGTCGCGAATAGAATTTTTCCAAATCTTCGGAACGAATTCCACTTCGTCATGTTCGATTCGCTCATCTCTAATTGTCATGTTGGAAAAGTGCATGATGACCAAGGGAGTTATGGTAGCATCTTCTCTTTCAATATAGAGCAGTACATCATGATAACATCAGTGAAATGAAGCTCCCTGACACCAGGAGCATTCATGCAGCCCCACAGAGGGACACTGCCACCACCATGTTACACTGTAGGCAGCATGCATTTTTCTTTGTACTTCTCACCTATGCGATGCCTTACAGTTTTGAAGCCATTAGTTCCAAAAACATTTATCTTGGTCTCATCACTCCAGAATACAGAGTCCCAGTAGTCTTCTTCTTTTTCAGCATGGGCCCTGGCAAATGTTAGGTGGGCTATTTTATGCATGGGCTTTGGGGCCATATTGTGTCACAGGAAACAATCACCCGAGTTTGGCTTTCTACTTCTTTAGCTAACTGCAGTGAACTTGCATGGCGATTTTCTTCAACCTTTCTCATCAGAAGACGCTCCTGCCGAGGTGTTAACTTCTGTGGACTGCCTGGACGTCTCTATGAGATGGTTGCAATTCCATCTTTGTTAAATTTTTGTATCACTTTTGCTACAGTATTCTGACTGATAAGTAAAGCTTTGCTGATCTTTGGTAGCCTTTACCCTTCTTGTGTAAATAAATTATTTTCTTTCTCAGGCCTTGTGACATTTCTCTTCCATGTGGTGCCATTGCTGACAGCATGAAATGGGAAGGGGTTTTATTTGTTAGGTAACTCCCTTTTACAGTCAACTGTCTGCTGGACACCTGTTTAATGAATAATTAAACTCACCTGCAGTTGAACTCTTGTTAATTAGGATTTTGTTGTCTAAAATTTAGCTTTGCTCCTAAGACTTTCACTGGGGTGTATTCATTTTTTGATCTTGAATGAATTTGTTAGGAAAAATAGTTTTTTGTGTGTGCAAATTAACAAATCTTGTTTTCAATCAATGGCTCGTATTTGTGGGAGTATTTTGTAGTATAGTGTCCCATAGAAAATGTTGATTCTGAAAGGAAAGTTAAGGTTTTTTTGACAAATCTGTTGGGGTGTACTCATTTACTGTATGCTGGCCACTGTATATGTAAAGTGACTTACCTGCAAAAAATGTGCAAATTCGTTCTACCAATTTTCCTCCAGACACATTTAACAGAGTGTATTTTTACAGTGTGTAAAAGTTCCCCGCCATTTACTTCTGTGCAGTGCAGTCAAAGCAATACATCTTGTCAAGGCTTTGATTGGATAGTGAAGAAACAGCAACTCACCGATAAAGCTCTCTGTCCTCCCCTCCATTTAATAAGCTAAATTTTTTATTATAACATGCAAATATATTGTGTATAGGTGAGCGCTGGAAACAAGTATAATGAAAAGCAGCTAGCACACAAGGTAAAGGTAACAACACCTAAAAGTATATGGTATAAAAGTGCAGTGCTAAATAAAATAAATTATGTCAATTTAAACAGTTAAGTGCACCATATAAAGTGAAATCAATATAAATATAGTCCATAAGATATATAATATAAATTAATAATAGTGTCTGTGGGACTACAAGGCACAGCAATCACGGTGAAGGATAAACTGTGATTTTGATCCAGTAAGGAAATCCACCACCTCTGCCAGATGTAAACTCACCAGAAAGCTACTGGTAAATACCATATATGCACATCACATCAAGGAGCCAAGACACAGCCAGAAGATATAACTGAACTGCTCCGCCACAGGCAAAATGGAGGTGGATCATTTCCTAGGAAGAATAACTCCTCACAGGAGCCCAGAAATGGTATATAGTGCAGTATTTTATTGCAGCATAAATAAAACGATCCACGTGGAACAGGCATAAAAGATAAGGATAAAATCAAAGTACCAAGATGGCTGCCGCTCCAACCTTCGGCAATGGCGGCATGACGTCAGCAAGTGTGGCTCCTCCCGACGCGGTTCGTGCACATGTTCATGTCTTCACTTGACATTATTTAATTTATTTAGCGCTTCACTTTTATACCATATGTTATATTATTTCATAGTGTTGTGTTCTGCAGCAAAGGCTGACTGGTGTCAGGTGAGGCCTGTTCTCTAAAACTGGCCTTAAACCTGGCACACATTGGCCAAAAATTATCTCGGACTTTTGGTCCCTGTGTACAGCTTCTGTCAAATGGTCATGCTGGAAAACTAGCATTCAATCAGTGCTTGCAGCCAGTGGCTGAAGCCATTGATTAGTGTATTCTGGTGGGAGGGGAGTCACCCTGTCAGAATACAGTGTTTCAGCAGAAGCCATCCCTTCATGCACATCGCTTGTGTTGATACAGGGATCTGTCCGTTTTTCTTAATTCAACCCTCTGGTGAACGGGAAAAAAAACTGTGTGTGTGTACCAAGCTTAACGCTTAACGCAAAAATCTACCAGATTCCTCCATCCACCCTATACAGTGCGGATGAATAAATGTACAGTGCCAACTATATGCATTCTGACATCTCAATGGATGCAGCTGCCTTTTGTCTGATATATTTCTGGCAAGCTTTCTCTAAATTTTCAGTTGAAGAACAGTAAACCCTATACACACAGGCTGAATATTGTCTGAAATCAGTCGGTACAGTAGAAACCGGATGACTTTCAGCCCATGTGTACACCTGCCCGTCCAACAGAAGCCAATCTCGTGACCAGCTTCTGTCGAATGAGCATGCTGGAAAACCAGCAGCCTACTTATCAGTGCTTCCAGCTAATGGGCGGTCCCCGTGTCAGAACACAATAGCACAGCGGGGGGGGGGATCACTGTACTAACATGACTAGTGTTAGTATTATTATTATTATTAATAATATACAGTATTTATATAGCGCCAAAGGGTATGCTCAGTGCTGCACAGTAGCAAGGGGGACAGAACATGAGACAAGACATTAACAATACACTACACGAGGGGTTCGAGGGCCCTGCTCTTTCGAGCTTACAGTCTAGGAGTCAGTTTTTTTTCATTCAGCCCACTGGGCTGAAAACTTAATGTGTGTACCAGGCTTAAGGCAGAAGGGTGCCAACAGGGCTACTGACATCTGGTTCTTCAGGAGCAGCCAAAATTCACTCAGAATATGGCCAGGTTTAGTCTGAATGCTGATGTGAAGAGGATTACAGGAGATTAGTAGAAGACTAATTAGAGTATTATTTAAAACTGCATATAGGTGTTTTTGACTGGTTACATAATATAAAACTGTACTGGCATAGTGGGCAGAGAACTGGGCTTTCAGAAAAAATGGTACAGAAATACAAACAATGGTCAAAAATATTAAATGGCTATTTACCTGTACGTGTTTTCTTTTGCAAGAACTGTGTGCAAGAAAATAAAAATAATAGTTCATATATTTCGGCTTTTAGCATTGACCAGAGCCTGTCTCAAGCAGCCCGTGTTTGCACATTCCAGACAAAAGCCTAGTTATTGTTATTTCACCCAGGAATAAATCCTTATCAGTTAATAACTAGAGCCTATTCAAACTTGTCCTTTTTGATGCAGGAAAACTTGCATTTTGCTGCATGAAAATACGAATGTCAAGTAGGAATTCCATTTTTTCCAATGGGGCTGGGTTTGCATCTATGCTCTGCAGTTTAGTGTAAAAGACAAAAGGAAACAATATGGCCACATTCACACCTACATGTGTATGTTATGAATGCTGTATGCACTCAGAACAGTGTAAATCCAGCATTGGAGATTTACCATCACTTGCAGGAAACCTATTTGTGAACAACATTTCTTGTTCCAGCTTACAGTCAGAAAAGTAATGACGTTAATTATTCTCTTTTATATTTCCTCAATTTCCAGTAATTTAAAAATAGAGGTCATCAGGTTTAATGTTATCACATTTTTCAGGGTAGTGCTTTGGCTCAGGGGCTTCTTTTGCTGACTTGTATCATTGATGTTTTGGCATCTATTCTTTCCAGAGAAGTGTTTGCTTAAAATACTTTATTTCCTTTTTGTGTGGCTTTCAGTGTTAATTTCGTCAACTAAAATATTTTCGTGGACGAAAATAACATTATTTTAGTTGACAAAACTAAAAAAATGCAGATGACTAAAATATGACTAAAACTAAAATAGTATTTTATTCAAAATACCATGACTAAAACTAAACTTGTAATTTTAAATGTAAAATTAAAATGGTGGCTTTCTAGGTGTTCTCTGTAAATATTAGACTACCACTTGGATAGGAAATTTTTTTTTTACTAGTGTAGGACTAACATGGAAATATATTTTGTACCACATTTTTCCAGATAACATCTATAAATTTTGATGGACAAAAACTCTCCAAAATCACAAATTTGGAAAAGCTTGAAAATTTACGCTGGGCATCTTTCAGCAACAATTATCTGACCAAAACTGAAGGCCTGAAAAATTGTGTCAAGTTAGAGGAGCTTTGCCTTGATGGAAACAGCATCACAAAAAACTGGAAGGTATATTCTGTATGTTAATATTCCATTCACTAGGTGGTGCTCTACCATTTTACTGAGTGGGGATAAAATTCAGAACTATCATATATAGCTATTACATAAAACCAATCAAGTGAATTTCAAAAACATCTGCTGATAACAACATAAATGCCATTCTTACAAAAAAGTTCCTAGAAAAATGTTTTTGTTTTTTTTTATTTTAACTTCTTCAGAGCTTCTTTTGCATTTCTATAGGAAGGGCAGGTGTTCTGAAGCAAACAAATGGTAACTGATTTTTGTAGGTTGAAGAGCAGTTCTGAAGCAAATAACTACTCATGTTATTCATTCATTTGTATAAATAGACAGAGTGAAACCACTTTAGTCTGGCTCATTATTGAATATGATCATTCAGAGACCTGCTTCTCTGGATCATGAGAGCTTGAACAGCTACCAGGCAGCAATATTATACACTATATTGCCAAAAGTATTGGAACACCCCTCCAAATCATTGGATTCAGGTGTTCCAATCACCTCCATGACCGCAGGTGTATTAAATTAAATGCAGACTGCTTCTATAAATATTTGCGAAAGAATGGGTCGCTCTCAGGAGCTCAGTGAATTCAAGCGTGGTACCGTGATAGGTTGCCACCTGTGCAATAAGTCTATCCGTGAAATTTCCTTGCTACTAAATATTCCACGATCAACTGTTAGTGGTATTATAACAAAGTGCAAAGTGGAAGCGACTGGGAACAACAGCAACCACAAAGTAGTAGGCCATGTAAAATGACAGAGCGGGGTCAGCACATGCAAAGGGTGGGCCAACTCAATATTGAACCCTACAGACTAAGACTGGGATGCCGTTAAAATTCAGGTAAAGGCAGGTGCCCCGATACTTTTGGCAATATAGTGTATATGTCATGTACCTGTTGGGGAGCCTGACGTAGAGAGGAGGCATCCTCTTACTACTCCCTCTCGGAGCCCCTGATAGTGGGGACAGAGGGTGCCGAGGTGGGTCTTGAGATGATGGTAGGCAGGTGATGACCCAGAAGATCCGGATGCAGGCCAGGTGCAAATGCAGGAATGTGGGTGCAGCAGCAGGTAGGTATGGCGGTAACCAGGGTACAGGTCAGGTGCAGATACAGGAATGTATGTGCAGCAGTGTCAGACAAGCCAGGTCAGGATCAATGGGGCAGATCAGGTACAAGTGGGCAGGCAAGCGGATAGTCAGGGATAAGCCGGTCAGTGCAGGCGTAGTTCTTAGTCAGGGTCAGATCAGATTCAGGCTACAGAATCAGGTTATCAAGTACAGGACGTTATAGACCAGAAGGCATAGGCTAAACAGTGTTGGTGATTTAAATAGCCCGCCTTGCGGTGACGTGTATGCTCGTGCGCATGCGCATAACCGCACACTCCCGAGCATGAGCACTTGCACCGCTGCGGCTGACAGGGATCCAGTGCATAGATGAGTGTCGGCGAGGGAGAGATCCCTGACAGTGCCCCCTCTCTAAGGGCAGCCTCCGGATGCCCAACTTCTCTGGATGCCTGTGTCTGAATGCCAAGATTAAGTCTTTAGCCTGGATGTTGGATTCCAGTTCCCATGAATTGTCTTCAGGCCCATATCCTTTCCATTTAATTAAATATTGGAGCTGGTTCCTCCTTTTCCTACAGTCAATAATTGTCTCTACCCTCATATTCCTCTTCGCCGTTGATGATCACTGGCTCAGGTGGCGCTAATTCCCGTCAGTCAGTCTCTAACCCCAGGAAAGGGGTTAGAGACTGACGGTTTGAGCAATGATACATGAAATACGGGGTGAATCCTAAGTGATTCCGGTAATGTAAGCTCGTATGTTACATCATTAATCCTCCTCTTTACTGGGAAAGGTCCCACGAACTTGGGGCCTAGCTTCTTTGAGGGACAAGTAAATCTTAAATTGGCTGTTGACAACCATACTTCCTCACCAGGTTCCAGGACCAGGTCCCCCTTCCTTTTCCTGTCAAAGAATTTTTTGTTGTTTAGTTGAACCTTTGTGATTGTCTCCTGTAGCACCTTGTTGTTTTGCTGAAGGAATTCAAAAGTATCTTGGACCGCAGGAATTGATGATTCAGGCACTAAATTGGATAGGAATGCAGGATGAAATCCATAGTTCGAGAAAAAGGGAGACTGTTTTGTGGCCGACTGTTTTGAATGATTATATGCAAACTCGCCTAAGGGTAAAAGTGATACCCAGTCATCTTGGGAGAATGACGTAAAACAGTGAATGTATTGTTCCAAGGTCTGGTTGGTTCTTTCCGTTTGGCCTTTGGTCTGATGGTGATAAGCGGAAGAGAATGAGAGTCCCACTTTAAACTTCTTGCAGAGTGCTTTCCAGAATGTCGAAGTGAATTGTACCCCTTGATCCGAGATGATGTTCCCTGGAACACCATGGAGCCTCACCACCTCTCTTATGAAGATTTGGGCTGTCTCTGCTGCAGACGGTACTCCCTTCATGGCAATAAAATGGGCCACCTTAGAAAAACGATCCACTATGACGAAAATGGCCGAACATCCCTCTGATGGTGGCAGTTCTACAATGAGAGATCATTTTCCATGGTCGATCAAGGACAAGTAGGGGCCTCAATAATCCCCAGGTCTTGTTTCAGTTGCCCTTGTTCCGTATACATGCGGGGCAGGAATTTACATAAGCCTTGCAGTCCTTCTCCCACCAGAACAGGCGCTGCACTAGGTCTAAAGTCTTGTGGACCCCGAAATGTCTTGCCAGCGGATGGTCATGACATAACCCTAAAATTACTAATCGGATAGCCTCTGGTGCAAAGATCTTGTCTCCTGACCATAGTAAACCTTCTCTAGTGGATAGAGTTACTCCTGGTGGAGAAGGAGCCCCTAAGCATGCCTGTTGGATCTGTGAAAAAAGGTCTGGTTGTAAAAGAGAGAAGTTGCCTGCTGAGAGCACCGTATCAGGGGTAGGAGGATCCTTAGGATCATTGAACATCCTAGGCAGGGCATCAGGTTTGATATTCTTTGTGCCTGGTCTGTAGGTAATGTGAAATATGAGCCTTGAGAAAAAAAGTGCCCACCTGGCTTGTTGGGGTTTTAGACGTCTCACAGTCTTCAGGTACTCCATATTCTTGTGATCGGTATAGATCAAAATAGGGTGTGCTGCTCCCTCAAAAAAGGTACCTCCATTCCTCCAAGGCTGACTTGATGGCCAGTAATTCTCGGTCCCCCACACCGTAGTTTCTCTCCACGGGATAGCTTACGGGAAAAAAAATCGACTGGATGAAGCAAGAGTTTCAGGCCTTGCCACTGTGATTGGACGGCCCCAACAGCATTCTCCAATGTATCTACCTCTACCACAAAGGGCAGTGCTGGATCTGCATGGCTTAATATGGGTGCTAAAGTAAAAAGTCCCTTTAATGATTCAAAAGCATTCTGGGCTTCTGGTGTCCAACAGAATCGGACTCCTTGTTTGGTCAGTTGGTTGATAGGAGCAATGATAGCTGAGAATCTTTTGATGAATCTCCTATAAAAATTTGCGAAGCCTATGAAGCGTTGTATTCCTTTTTTATCGGATGGTGCAGGCCATTCCTGGATGGCAGACACTTTCTGGGGATCCATTTTGAAGCCTTCAGTGGATATAATCAATCCTAAGAATTGAATGCTCTGGCGTTCAAACTCGCATTTTTCTGGCTTTGCGTATAGTCCGTGTAGTCAGAGGCGATCAAGGACCTTCACATGTCCTCGGTGAAGTTCAATAGATGTGGAAAAGATCAGAATGTCATCAAGGTACACTATCACAAAAATATCTAAAAAGTCACTGAAAATATAATTTACCAGGTGCTGAAAGGTTGCAGGGGCATTACATAGTCCGAAGGGCATGACTAGGTACTCGAAATGCCCAAATCTGGTACGGAAGGCCATTTTCCACTCATCTCCTTCCCGGAATCGTACGAGATTGTATGCCCCTCTTAAATCCAGCTTGGTAAATATGGTTGCGAACCGGAGTCTTTGGAATAGTTCTGGGACTAATGGCAGGGGAAATCTGTTCTTAACCGTAATATTGTTCAACTCGCGGTAGTCAACACATGGATGGAGGGAATGATCTTTCTTTTCTACAAAGAAGATACCTGCACCTGCTGGTAAGGTGGAGGCCAGATGAACCCCTTGTTTAGATCATTGATGTTGTCTTTCAGTGCCTCCAACTCACGCTCTGACAGTAGGGTCTGTGAGGTGGAAGACTGTCTACACCATGTTTACTAAAGCCATCCAGGAAGTTATGGTAGGCTGCAGGAACGATTTGGCCTACCTCGGCATCACTGTCCATACCCAGTAGGGGCACGGGTTGAGCAGGACTTTGGGGCAAGCAGTGCTCATGGCAGTAGGCCGATTGAAAGTCCACTTCACCAGATACCCAGTTCGCGCTGGGGTTGTGGGCCTGTAACCATGGGATCCCCAAGATAACTGGAAACAGTGGTGATGCATTAACATCCAGGCAAAGTAGTTCCTTGTGGCCAGATGGAGGTATTACAACAGGTAGTGGGATAGTCTCCTGTGTGATTGCCACAGACTTAATGTTGGATCTGTCAGCCAAGTATACTGTCAGTCTTTGTGTTTTGGCTTTTAAGGGTATCTGATGTTGCAGGGCGAAGGTTGAGTCTTTAAAGCAACTGCATTGGCAGGGTTCTTCCCGGAAGCTGGAATGAAATGGAAATGGTAATGTGACCAGGGTCGATGGTTGCAGGTGATAGTTTAACAGACAGGGTGGTCAGTGACTTGCGTAGCTTTGCGGGACAGTTTAGTACATAATGGCCGGATTCTCCACAATAAAGGCACAGGTTACCCTGTCGGCAGCGTTGTCGTTCCTCCGGAGTAAGTGAGGTTCGTAGCAGCCCTATTTGCATGGGTTCGAATTCTTCAATACTGGGTGTAGTAGGATGAGCTTGTACCATGTTTGCTGGAGGTGGTGTCCTGGGTAGCATCCACATAGGGCGAACTTGGCCAGTGGACCTTTCCAGTCTTAGTTCCCTAAGCCAGCGGTCAATTTGGATAGCAAGGTTAATGAGCTCTTCCAGCGTGTTTGGTACCCATACTCAGGCTAGCTCATCTTTAAGGGTTTCAGCAAAGCGTAAGCAGAGTTGATAGTGTAGGGCAGCGTTGTTCCAATTGGTATCGGCGCTCCAGCCCCTAAACTCTGTTACATAGTCCTCAGCTGCCCTGCGACCCTACTGAAGAGAATGGAGAGCTGCTGATGCAGATCGCTGGGGATCATCATAGAGCTGAGCCATAGCCTCAAAGAAGCAATTTAAAGAAGCTAACTTGGCATCTTCCTTTTCCAGCAGATGGTGGGCCCAAGTACATGGTTGTAATGCAAAATACAGTTCACAGGCATTGCGGAATGCCCTGAATTTGTTGCGATCACGAGAAAACCTTTCAGGTGTGGGAACCCAAGGCTCCGGGGGCAGCATCATCACACTCCGGGTTCATCATAGCTCCTGAAGCGACAGTTGGGGCAGATGTTGCTGTGGTGCTGGCAGAAGGTGCAGATAGGGTCTGAAAACGATTTTCAAGTTGGTTATATTCCTCTTGCAGACCCTTGACGGCTTGTGTCAGTACTGCAGTGTGCTGACAGATTTCCTCTAGAGGAGAGGCCCCTCTCTCAGGCTCCAACATGGCCTTCTGGTACTGTCACGTACCTGGTTGGGGAGTCTGACGTGGAGAGGAGGCGTCCTCTTACTACTCCCGCTCGGAGCCCCTGATAGTGGGGACAGAGGGTGCCGAGGTAGGCAGGTGTTGACCCAGAAGATCCGGATGCAGGCCAGGTGCAGATGCAGGAATGTGGGTGCAGCAGCAGGTAGGTATGGCGGCAACCAGGATACAGGCCAGGTGCGGATGCAGGAACATGGGTGCAGCAGCAGGTATGTATGGCGGCAACCAGGATGCAGACCAGGTGCGGATGCAGGAACATGGGTGCAGCAGCAGGTATGTATGGCGGCATCCAGGATACAGGCCAGGTGCGGATGCAGGAACGTGGGTGCAGCAGCAGGTAGGTATGGCGGCAACCAGGATGCAGACCAGGTGCGGATGCAGGAACATGGGTGCAGCAGCAGGTAGGTATGGTGGCAACCAGGATGCAGACCAGGTGCGAATGCAGGAGCGTAGGTGCGGCAGCAGGTAGCTATGGCGATAACCAGGGTACAGGCCAGGTGCAGATACAGGAACGTACGTGCAGCAGTGTCAGACAAGCCGGGTCAGGATCAATTGGGCAGATCAGGTACAAGGGAGCAGACAAGCGGATAGTCAGGGATAAGCCGGGTCAGTGCAGGCGGAGTTCTTTCTTAGTCAGGGTCAGATCAGATACAGGCAACAGAATCAGGTTATCAAGTACAGGACATTATAGAACAGAGGGCATAGGCTAAACTGTGTTGGGGATTTAAATAGCCCAACTTGTGGTGACGTGTATGGTAGTGCGCATGCCATAACCGCACGCTCCTTCGCATGCGCACTCGCACCACTGCGGCTGACAGGGATCCGGTGCCGGCGCATAGATGCGCGTCGGTGAGGGAGCGATCCCTGACAGTATATAACTTTTATTGAAGTTTGATGTGACTTCTAAGAGAGCATTAATGAATTAATGTAAGTGGCTTTTATAGCTGTATAACAGCATATATTGTTGCGAAAGAGGAGGTTCAAAAGAAGTAAAAAAGTGGCAGAGCCAATCAAGTTGGGCTCTAGCCTGTGAAGAACAATGACAAACTTTCCATGATGCACTATTCATATTATATCTTGCTACAGCTTCTTTTAGATAACAGTTGTTTTTAAAACTGTATTGGCTGTAGCAGTGTTTTGAAATTACTGTATCTGATAAAGTAGTAAACTTTCACATATACCCAGTGAAGTGACTGGTCTCTGGTGATACATAGGGATTAAACAAATGCTACTACATATGTGGTTCCATTTTATCTGCAGCCCTTACTTCTCTACTTCCATTCAAAGTGTAGAATTTATAAAGCTTGTCTGAGCTGTCAGGAAAAAAAGGGATAGAGAGTTGAAAATTACACAATGCAGAGCTCAGTGAGGAGAGCTCTGAGAGCTTATTGGAGGGTAGAGACATAACCCCTCCTACACAGCTCACAGGAACAGAGCTGAGGCTGTCAATCTGCTGGAGATCCCTCCCCTGTCACCTTTTTTCTCATGGTCTCAGGAAAATGTGTCAGAAGTGACTCGTACAGATAGCAAAGTAAGGAAGTAGCAGACAGAAATGACAATTAGTGCTCTTAATTTAAACAAATACACACTACAGAGGGATATGCTTTGTTCATATTTCTTGTCTGAGGTTTACAACCACTTTAACTTGTACTGTGGAGCAAAGATACAATAAGGCCTGTTTCACATGGAATTCAGTTTGCATAAGAGCTGTATGAACAGCAAGCTTTTATGAAATTTCAGCAAGCTTCTGCATAGCTTTAAGAAGCTTTAATCCAGCATCAGTGTGTTTGGGCATTTTGTTGCTCTTAGTGGCCCTGTACACTGTAGAGGTTCTTTGATCCCTAGGTGCTCCATAATCAGCAGAAGGCTGTGTGGATGGACCCCAGTGACATGACAGATAATATATGTACCTACATCGTGCACGTCTGTTGAATCAAACCCCTGTCCCATTTTATATCATACATGACTAGTGAGTCTGACCCAGGAAACATATTAACACTATCCCTCCCAGCAGGGGCAACCTACCTACAGACAAACTTCCTATTTTTACAATATTGCCAAAATTCAGTTCAAAAGCCTTGATCTTGCTAGTATATGGGATGTGCTCACTAAAAAGTCTCATGAGCATTGCAAAAATTACATGCGGATTGCATTCATGTGTAAATACCCTACTTTGCTTCTCCAAAGAAATGCTGATGTATTATGCAGAAAAAACCCTTCTTTCCTTTCCCCTCTCCTTCTTGTCAACTCCCGCCCTGCCAGAAGCCCGATTTGTGTTCCTATTGTTGAGCTTACACAGAGCTCAGTTCCTATGCCTGTTGTTCAGTGAGAGTGTGTCAGTCATACAGTTATGCCTGTTTTACCTAGATTGTATCAGCACTTTAAGTGGCTGTAAACCTCAGACATGAAATATGAACAAAGTGTATACCTCTATAGTGCGTACTTGTCTCAATCCAGAGCACTGTGTCATTTCTGTCTGCTGTTCCGTTTCTATGCTATCTGTATGAGTGACTTCTGACAAATTTTACTGACACCAGTTTGGCCTACTTTGGATCATTGCCTAGCAACCTGGCCAAAACCTGTAGTCTTGTTGCATTCCATTAAATGACACTCTAGGTTTTACAAAAGATTGTAAGGTCAGTAGTAGTTTGCCACATGCAGCTGGACTTCTGTAATTCTGGGCATGTTTCACCAAACATCAAGATGCTTCTGTGATTTTGAGTGTTGGGAACATGCTCCAGTATTTATTGCTGTCACTTAATTGAGTAAACCCATTGGATGTGTTGTGAAACCTCTTCAACATTACAGAAGAAGTCTAGTTAAATATGGCTAAGTTCTACTAGCTTCTAAGACATGGACAGTTGAGAATCTACAGTATACAGGTTCAGCTCCCTTATCGTTGAGAGTCATGGTGTTATGTTAACCCAGAAGCTTACTTTGTAACATGCACATCATACTGTTTTCCAGGTCTTTCAAATCTCGTCAAACTCAGACGTCTCAGTATAAATGACAATAAACTTGTAAGCATCAATAAGGAGGTCATTGATAACCTGTCTCATCTACACTTTCTCTCTGCTGAGAACAATAGCATCAGCTGTCTGGCAGGACTACAGAAAGCCTACCTATTAATAGAACTCTACCTGAGCAATAATCAGATCATTAGCAACCAAGAGATCTACCACCTCAAGGTATGTCAATGATTCTCTATAGGTGTGCAAATTTAAACAAATAAAGAACAAGAAGGTTTTGTTTTTCTAAGTGCATGTCCACAGTTACCATTTACAGTAGAGTCTGGCACACACTACCCGAATATTGTCCGGTTCAGCAGAAACCACTCGATGTTCGGCCAGTGTGTACAGCAGCCGGCCTAACATCCAGCTTCTGTCACACAGTCATGCTGGATAACCTATAGCGGACCGGCATCGAATTAGTGTTTGCAGCCAATGGCTGCCAGCGCTGATCAGTGTGTCCTGGCGGGGGAGCACTATCCATGTCAGAACACAATACTACAGCAGGGGAAATATTTGTACTAATATTGCATGTGTCAGTACAGCAATCTGAAAGTTTTTTTTTTTTTTTTTTTTCCATTCAGCCTGCTGGGCAGAACCTGGCCTGGCCCAAGATAGCGATTAAAGTGTAAACTGAAGGCAGAACTTTTTTTAATTAATGTAAGGGAAGGGTTTTTTTTTTGCCATCTGTGTTCCATAGATCCCCCCCCAAAGTAAAGGGACTCCCCATGTGTCACCAGGTTTATAAGAGCTAGTCTCCCCTTTGGAGGATTTCCCCTCTAGTCCTGTTCTGATGTCATCCCAAAATTTTTGATTTTCTTTTACTTTCAGTTTCAATGATGACATGGCAGTACATTATTAGTTAAGAGAGATTACAAATGTTATGGCAGATTTGTCAGCACATTTAATCGGAACAACTTGTCAAGGATGTGATGGTTCCCCACTGACCTAAACGGTAGTGCAAATTTTGATACATTTTATTCTCTTCCTACAATAGCCATGTCCATAAAAAAATTCAGATGGTCTTTTGCAACCCCTAAGGGATCCTGTTTCAGATATTAAAAGAACAATAACCAGTCCACATTGCAAGGTCTCCAAGAACGTAAAGTGATATTAAAGTAAATATACATGTCTTAATTGCCTTGATTTGTTATGATAATATATATTGAACATGCTTCCATTTCTAATAAAAAAAAAAAAAGCCTCTAATTTATTTTCGCTGGGCTGTCCAGTGGTCATGCAATCTTTCCCTCCTTGTTCCTGTCCACAGGGAAAGATCTGTGGGAGGAGTCTCTAATGTTTACGTAAGGGGATTAACAGGGAGGTGACGTCTTCAATCAGTCATTTTATAGTGACTAGGAACAAGGCATAGAGGAGGAGGGAGGAAACAAATTTTCAGTAAAATGTATGTACACCCACATTTATGACTCTTTAGTCACCTGGGCTGCCTTGATAGGTGATAAAGGACAAGGTAAATGGCTTGCCTAGTCCCTTATACCGGAGCATGTGCATCAAAGGTGGCAATAGTCAATCTTTTGGTTTTTTATATTCTTTATTTCAAAGAAATGGCATAACAAGTCATACAGAAAGCCCATCCCCAGCACACAGAGATTGTACAAATCCCATGAAGAAAATCATTGATACACACAACATCTAGATCAGGTAGAGATGCACCACACCATCCACATCCCCCAGAAACACCATTCTTACATTTTGTCATTTTACCAAAAACAGTAATAAAACATTTAACCCCAGTAGAATAACAGAAAGAGAAAAAATAAAAGAGAGAAAAAAAAAGGGGGGGGGTAAGGGATACAAAGGAGAAGGGGGGGAGGGAGATACCGGACCCTCCTCCCAACCCCCTGTGCACTCACTCGAGCGATCGCCCCCAGACTACCGGAGAATGTGAAGAGTTGCTTCTCCCTAATGGGCAGCGCAAGACTGGGAAGCCAGCACGGTTTGATCTTTGTAGAAGAAATATAGGGTCCAGGTTCTCCTTGAGCAACATAGTCATGCTCTCCATTTCCTGAATCTTGTTAATACGAGCCAGCCAATGTGTCTTTGTCGGGTGGTAATGGATTCTTCTACAATGCCGGGATGCAGGCCTTTGCTGCATTAAAGAGGTGTTTCAAGAGAGAATGCTTATATCTTTTTAGTTGACATTGGTGTGTCATGAAGAAGAAAAGCTGCTGGATTTCCTCCAAGAGTCACCCCCGTCAGCGTTTGCACCGTCTGTTCCACCATATTCCAAAAATCCCTCAGTTTGGGGCACTCCCAAAAAAATATGGAGCAAGGATCCCTCAGGAACTTGGCATCACCAGGATAGGTTTGTTACCTGGGGGAACATGCAATGAAGTACCTCTGGTGCCCTGTACCATTTAGTAAGGAGCTTGTATTCCCCCTCCTGGTACCTACTAGCCAAGGAAGTCCTGTGGGCAAAATATAAAATCCTGTCTGTTTCTGAGAAAATGTAATATTCAGATCCCTTTCCCAACACTGTAGAAATGGTAGTTCAGGCGGAGCTTCAGATGGAATCAAGGAAGTATAGAAATGAGAGAGGGCATGCCTCAAGGGTTCACCAGTCATACAGAGATTTTCAAAATCCCTCAGGGTAGTCAGCTCCTTTGGGAAAGTGTGTAAGAACGCTCCTAGTTGTGCTCGCCTCAGAAAATCTAGACTTGCAGAAAAGGCCACTGTTAACTCCTGAGACATCATAGGATGACCGTTATTGGAGAAATGAATCAAGCGGAAAAAGCCGTCCCAATAGAGTGCTTGAAAATGGGGGTCTGAGAGACCAGGCAGGAATCCCGATGCCCTTATAACAGGCATTAATGGACTCGGACCCGGGGAGAAGTTAGTAACTTTAAAAACATTCCTGGTTATTTGCAGTGTTTCTCCTATCAGTGGATGTTGTTTGATAGACAAAGGCAGAGAGGAATAAGGGTGCCATGCCATGGGGAGACCATCCAAGGGTAGTTCAACCATGGATTGTTCTAAATGTACCCAAAACTTTGCTTTGTGTGTCACACGCCAATCCACCACCCTAGCAAGATGTGCAGCCTCATGATACTTCACCAGGTCTGGGAAACCCACCCCTCCCCTAACTTTGGGCAAAGAGAGGATACCCTTCCGGAGTTGTGTCAGCTTACCCCCCCCCCCCCCCCCCCCCAGAAAAAGCTCAGGAAATCTGAACGCAGCTTGGCAGGAGGCCGGGCTGGAGTCGTATCAGAAGGGCCTGAAGCAGATAGTTAATTTTTAAGATATTGATGCGTCCGAACCATGTAAAAACCTCCCTGTTCCAGCGTGAGAGATCAGCTCTGATTGTTCTAGCCAAAGGGGCAAAGTTGAGTTCAAAGGACCATCTCAAATCTTGAGGGATATTCGTACCCTGGTATCTAATGAGAGAAGAAGTCCATTTAAACTGAAACTGGTAGGCAATTTGTTGAAAGGAGTGGTCTATGGAAATACCTATAGCTTCTGATTTAGAATAGTTTTTTTTTTAAAGTTGGAGAGAGATTCGTAGCGGCAGAGTTCTTGTAGCAAAGATGGTAGAGAGGTGGTTGGTGCAGACATAAAGAAAATCAAACCATGTGCATAAGCGGCCACTTTGTGTTGCTTGCCATTTTCTTTAATACCCATAATGTCTGAGTGTGCCCTGATGGTCCATAAGAAGGGTTCCATGGTAAGTACGAAAAATTAGAGGTGATAAAGGGCACCCCTGCCTGGTCCCGTTACAAATTGAGAATGTATCTGAAAGCGCTCCGTTGACCCCAAGCCACGCTGAGGGGATGGAGTAGAGAGCAGAAATCTACTGCAGCATGCCCCTTCCTATACCAATATGTTCCATGGTATTCTGCAGAAACATCCAGGAGACCCTGTCAAAAGCCTTCTCCGCATCAGCGGAGAAGAGCACTAAGAGGACCTGCATTGAGAGGGACTAATGTACAGCCGCTAAGACTCGTTGCGTATTGTCTCTGCACTCCCTATCTGGAGTGAAGCCAGACTGGTCAGGGTGAATCAACGAAGGAAGGATCTGCGATAGCCCAGGCGCCAAAATCTTCCTAAATATCTTGAGGTCTACATTAAGCAGGGAAATGGGCGTATAACTAGAGCAGAGAGCTGGATCCTTCCCCTCCTTATGTATCACTGAGATATGGGCCTGTAAAGAGGTTGCGGGAATTGCATGCCCCCCCTGAGGGAGTTAAATGCCGCTGAGAACAAGGGGGCTAGTTTGTCCGCAAACTTCTTATAATAAGCTAGTGTGTAGCCATCAGGGCGAGGAGCTTTACCAGGCTTCATAGAAGCAAGCGCCCTCATGAAGTCGTCCACAGACATTGGGATGTCCAGGTACGTGACGTCCTCCTCCGTCAGGGTAGGCATCTTTGAGGCTTGCAAATAGTCTTTAGCAGGCTCCTGTTGCCTCCTCTGGGAAGACGGGATAGTGCCATCCGGTAGAATATAAAGGGAAGTATAATAGTTTCGAAATGCCATGGCAATCTCCGATGAGGAGGAAAGCAAGACATCCCCACTGGATTTTATCTTTGAAATATACGTTTTGGCTCTAGCAGATCTAAGAGCGTAAGCTAAGAGTCTACGTGGTTTATTGCTGTATTCGTAAAAGGACCGATGCACCCGAGCGAGTTTCGCCTTAACCCGATCAGAAAGAAGGGAATTCAAACTATCTCTCAATGTCTGTAGCTGCTCTTCAACCCACTGGGCTTGAGATTTCTGATGGATGCGCTCCAGGGCTTGTATTTTAGACAACAAAGATTCTACTTGAGAAGCGAGGGTTCTTTTTCTATGGGTACCCACACTTACTCCACGGAGAACGCATTTATGAGCCTCCCAGAGACAGAACGGGGAAACCTCCTTAGTGGAATTGGTCCTAAAAATGGAGTCAAGAGATTCCACAATTCGCCCTTGATAAGTCGGATCGTGCAATAGCGACTCATTCAGCTTCCATTGCCAGGGTCGATGAATCCGCTCAAGGCCATGGTTAGAAATACAAATAAAAAGGGGTGAAGGGGGGTGAGAGGTGAGAGGTAAAAAGAGGAAGGGGATGGGGGGGAGGATGAGGGTACAGGTAGGGAAGAAGGGGCAAGAGGAAAGACAAGGAGAATAGGGAGGAAAAAAAGTGTGTGTGGGGGGGGGGAGAGAGGGTACAGAAAAAGGGGGAAAGGGACAGGAGAGGTATATAAAAGGGGGAAGGGGGGGAAGGAGAAGATAGAAGGGGGGGGGAGAAGAAAAGAAGATGGAGGAGAGGGTTCCAGGTCACCAGCAAGCGACCCTAACGGCTACCAGGTCTAAAGTCAGGTAGCAGACTCCAGCTGCGAGGTCTAGTACTAGGAACCAAGAACCCTATGTGGATTATGGCAAGACAAGGCAGTGGAAGGCCCAGACTATCATTCAGGCGGACGTCCACCTCGTCGGCTGGATACTGAAGAGAGGGTAGAGCAGAGACTCTGGGTATTTTGCTGTTTTTCAGGTTCTCATGCAAATTGTTTGGGGCCGAAAGGCCACATCCTTATGAATGCCCATCACAGTAGTCATAAAAAGTGAGGGAAAACATCAAACAACAGAACAATGTACCTGAGATTCCTCATCGAGCCCTCCCAGAGCAACAAATGCCCCAGGTAGAAAGAGGCACTCCACTACTGGGGAAGCTGAGGGAGCTAGAGGAAGAAATGCACGCCTACGGCCTCATGTAACTTCTTATGACGAACCATTGACAAATAAAATGAGCAGAGATTTCAATCCAAACCAGATAGCTTAGCGATGTCGCCGTAGTAGCCTTTTGGAGGGTACTCAACTTCTTGGAGCTGACAGCCCTGCAGCCTAGGTGAAACAACTACTAGGTGTCCAAGTCACAGACCCGAGCAAAGTCCAAGTCGTCTGCGGATTCCATTCTTGAGGGTCAGTCCTCCCTACCCGCTGGATCCTGATGAATCCTGATGAATCGAGGTAGACTTCGTCTTTGAGGTCGCGGGCGACGACCAGAGATAGCTCAGGGAGGTCCAGCCAGTCAGGGACCACCACGGATTCGCAATTCAAGAATTGAAATAGCTGTTGCAGTTGAGTAGGGCAGTGTAGCTGGAAGTCTTAATTGTCTTTTTTGACTATGAGCAATAGGGGTAAACCCCATCTATAAGTCGCCCATTGTCCTCGCACCAGGTCAAGCAGAGGTCTCATCTGGTGCCCACCATAGAGTGTTTGCCGGCATAGATCCGGGTATAGATGGACAGTGGCACCATCGAAATCCATAGGCCTCCTGCGCCAGGCGGTCCATGATATGTCCTCCTTGATAGCGTAAAAATGTACCCTACACAACATGTCCCTAGGCTCCAGGTGAGTAGGGGGAACGGATGCCGGAACCCAGTGGACCCGGTCCAGCTCGATATGAGTGTCAGTAGGGTTGCGTAAGAAAATATTAAAGATTCTTAGAACCGTGGTTTTCCCAGTCTAAACCGCCAGTGGCCACTGGAATGCCCTTGAGCCTGACATTGTTTCCTCTGCTCCGGTTCTCAGAATCTTCCTGTTGCAATTGCAGGGCAAGTAGGCTTTGGCACTGGCGGTGGAGCAAGGTCTCTAGCCCAGTGAGCCTGGAGTCAGCGCTCTCTCAATGGGCCTCCAAGGCCTCCAGCCTTTGTGTAGCCACTGAGGTAGTGGATATTAGCACCGCAATCTCCCCCCGTAGCATCCCTGTGAGTTGGTCAAGCATCAGTTGAATGTCTGCTTTTGTGGAGAGTGCCTGGAGAAGCTGGCGGATATCCTGCTCCACGGCTGAAGACAATGGCGTAGGACTCCCTGACCCATTAGAATCCTCCATGGGATCCATCTGCGGCAGCATAGGGGTACAGATAGGAGAGTGTGGTCCCTCAGGCATGGTGTTAGGAGCCGACGGGACCATAGAAGAGGCCGCAGCTGTGGCCTGCGAGTCGTGGGAAGGCGCCATGGTGAAGCTTGCGGTGGTGTCCGAATCCCCCCGGACAGATAGGTGGTATATTGTTGAGTGGGGGTGCCGGATGTGTCCAGGGGCTTACCTCGTTTCGGCATGGGGGAATAGGGCTAGTGGAAGCAGCAGAATGCAAAGATAACCCCCCGTCTCAGTACAGAGCTCAGCCTTGGAACGTCCTCACGCCCCCATACCTAAGCCACGCCCCCCAATCAATTTGATCTTATGCTGCAGCAGGGACACAAGCAAGGAGGCAGCCCCAGCATATGGCATGATCAACCAGGTATTTATTGCTCTACATAAAATGAATTAACTAATACTCAAGTCTATATGTATAGAATGTAGAATAGCATGTGAACCCTTTTTTAAATATTTTGGGCTTAATGACACTTTAAATATGTATCTTTTGTCAATAGTCAGGACTGCAGGAAAACAGGAATAATTTGAAGTCTAATAAAGCTGTTTGCACATTGGCATTATCTAGGATATTACTTAGGATACTTAGGATATTTTTAGACCAGAAAAGCCAATAGTAACCAACATATTTCTTTAAAGCAAACCTGTTTACTCATGAAAATTAAAAAGCAGTATTGCTGGAAAATAGCCAATACTGTCTACAATTACTTTTTGTTTCAGCACCACCCAGTAATGCCCTGAAGTCCGTCTTCTTCTGTGTAGTGAAATTGAGACCCACTTCTGCACCACAAAACATCCATGTCCTGAATGGCCTATGGGTAGGCCAGAGTTCTCTCATGAGGTTCAGAAACCTGGTTATTCAAACAGTGACTTTTTATACCTGGTTGTTTGCATTTGTATAGAATAGTCGCATTTCTAGCAGCACTGGAACTAAATGTGCTGGTAGCTATTTGCTAGCACTTGGTATTTATGGTTCTCCAAAAACATAATAGATGATAATTGCATTGCATTTATTATAAAAGATATGTCAATCTCTCTGAAAACAGATCTCTTTTTTTCAACAGGGTTTAAACAATCTTGTAATTCTGGACTTGTGCGGTAATCCAATCTCCCTGCAAAATGACAACTATCGATTGTTTGTTATTTTCCATGTTTCATCACTAAAAGCTTTGAATGGATCTGCTGTGGTAAGTAACAGTAAAAAGAAAAACAAACAGGTAATCTATGTAAAAGATGCTGTATGCTTTGTGTTTCCTGTATAACAAAACACATATTTATTATTTATGTTACAAAAAGTTAGTTTTTATTAGAAAATACATGTTTCTGTTCTATTGGATCTATGTTTAACTGAGAGGAGGCCTGGAGGCGAACCTCACCATGTTGGAGTGTTATTAAAAAAGTAACATTTCAGGAGTCATAGAAATCAGAATTAATTTTTCAATGATCTGATTAGAGTATACTGAAATCTGATTGGATGCAATGGATTACTGTACCTAACATTTGAATATTTGTCCGTGCATTGTCCTGTCAAAATATCATGCTGTTCTCCTAATGGTCTAGGACAGGGGTCTGCAACCTTTAAGACATAAAGAGCCACTTGGACCCGTTTCCGAAGGGGAAAAAAAAGACTGGGAGCCGCAAAACCATTGCAACATTTAAAACAAATCCAACACTGCATATATTGCAAAAAGCGCTCTGGTCATGAAGGGGGTTTAAGGGCCCAGTAAGCAAAGGGTTAATCAGGGCCACAGTGTATCGTCATAATCACAATCATAGCCTTAGGTCAGTGGTGGGCAACCTTTTTTTTCAACTGAGCCAAATCTCGCCAAAACCACAATTGAAATTTATTTTGAGAGACACATTTTTAAAACTGAAAATACATCCCCCATATAGTAATTCATCCCCCATAGTAATTCATCCCCCATATAGTAATTCATCCCCCATATAGTAATTCATCTCCCATATAGTAATTCATCCCCCATAGTAATTCATCCCCCATAGTAATTCATCCCCCATATAGTAATTCATCCCCCATATAGTAATTCATCCCCCACATAGTAATTCATCCCCCATAGTAATTCATCCCCCATATAGTAATTCATCCCCCATAGTAATTCATCCCCATATAGTAATTCATCCCCCATATAGTAATTCATCCCCCATAGTAATTCATCCCCCATAGTAATTCATCCCCCATATAGTAATTCATCCCCCCTATGGTAATTCATCCCCCATATAGTAATTCATCCCCCATAGTAATTCATCCCCCATATAGTAATTCATCCCCCATATAGTAATTCATCCCCCCTATAGTAATTCATCCCCCCTATAGTAATTCACCCCCCCTATAGTAATTCATTCCCCATATTGTGTCAATTCACTTACCTTTGCTCCGCGCGTTCCTCTCGCCGTGTTCCCGCGCCGTTCCGGTCTTCAGGGTGGACTGTGAGAGGAGAGGAGTTCGTCACGCTGCCCCGCCTACATCCTGACAGCCAATGTTTGGAGGAGGGGGGGGGCGGGCGCCCGGCACACAGAAGAGCCGCATTAAAGAGTGTAAATAGTCGCGGCTTGCCGACCACTGCAGCTACGGCAACCCTATTGCCTGTCACCTGGTGGGCAGTGTGCCTAGGAGCCGCAGCAAAGGTGAAAAAGAGCCGCATGCGGCTCTGGAGCCGCGGTTTGCCGACACCCGGTCTAGGAACACCTATAATTCCCAGGGATAGCCAGCATAGATTAGTCTGTTCAGGCCTGCTTACTGCCTTATACCCTGTACACATGATGAGAATATCAGACGAACGATTATCCTTTTTTTTTTTTTTTTTGTGTGTGTGCTAGTCTTCTATTGAAAACAAATATGTTACTGAAGTTCCAAAAATTCTCATAAGACAGAATATAACTTCAAAAGTGATGTAATGTAATGTATTCTTTCGTTTCTGAGCATGCATGTCTTGGTAATTTGTTTTTTTTTTTTTACAAATACTTTACTGTTCTGTTATCTCATGAGAAAATTTTTGTGCTTGTCCCTTCAGATATTTTTGCATTAACTGTCGTGATTGGCTCTCAAAATCTGTGTACTAATGATCAAATTATCATGCAACCGTTCAAAAAAGCAGATTTTTTTGTCCGATTTTCTCATCGTGTATACTAAGCATTAGCCTACAATGGAGATAAAACCTAAGACAATTTATGCTCATAGATTACACTGGGAAATCTCTGCCACATACTGTAGGTGAATCCATCCAAAGCTTTAAATAGGGAAAATAGAGAGGCTGACACCAATTATAAATGCAAAGAAGTTTTGACCCCTTCCTTCTCTAAAGCAAAAAAAAAATAATTTGATTGTAGACAAACTTTCCCTTCTTCTAATATTCATTTCTCCATTATTTACAATATTGTCTTCTTACTTTTTGAAGGATCAGCTAGAGAGTGAAAACGCAAAGGATGTTTTTGGTGGAAGACTCAGTTCGGATATGATTGTTGAAAAGCTTGGACATCAAAACTTTACAGAACTGCAAGAGCTAAACTGGAGGTCTTCCTCAATTAGGTAACATTAAATTGCTTGCTCCTCTAGGACCTTTTACGCTAATGTAGAATACTGAAGATCTGTATCATTTAAAGGGGGACTGTGATGGTTTTTGGTCAGTTTTATAAAAGTATGTTTATTTGATTTGATGTTTTTTCTATTACTATAGTATCTATTTATATAAAATTGTTGTTTTACAAATAAGTATGCAGGGTGCATCAGTGACACAGGATTTCCAGAGCATTATGGGTTTTCCAAGAATGAGTTATTTCACACTGTGATTGTCTGATTGAAAGCTTGGAGGAACCCAACTCAGCAGCCATGTATGAAGGGGTGATAAGTTACAGCTTGGACCCTTTAAGGGTCCATTCACACCAGCCAGTGCTTTATAATGTAGCTGCTGGTGTGCGGTGTGCTCCGGCGGAAATCCCCACTCTGTACCAAACCGTTTTTTATTTTTTTTAAATTTAAATAAACTTTATTGAATGTCACACAGACATTTCATAAAGTTCAATTGGCTACCATACGGTGAGAGGTGGTGCCTCAAGCTGCAGTGTGCCAAAAAAAGTAGTGCAAAGAAAAAAAATAGAAGCACAGTGGTGTAAATCAGGCACACAGGAGACAAGATACTTTGCTTTGTCATGTGGTGGAACTGCGCTGGACTAACCGCCCAGCGCAGTTCCACCGCATCTGGTGTGAATGGAGCCTTTGTTAGGTGTATAAATTGGAACTTACACTGTTAAGCTCTGCAAGCAAAAGAATAACACAAAAACCATGAAAAGAAGGTCATGTAAAAAACTTAGATTATGTGGAAAATAAGTATAACATTTTATATTGCGGATTTAATGAAGGTGATAATGTTATTACAATATTGCTTTTTAAATAAAGTTGTAGTCCTTTAAACAAAACCAATTGTTGATATATTTGACTGATTTGCTATTGTCCTGCTATCTTCCCTTTAATTGCTAATATTTATTGTGGTTTTGTAGGTGCAAATGCATGAAAATGTCCATCCATTTCAACCTGAGAAGTATTTGAGCTTTGAGTGTGTATTTTATTTTTCATCTGAAAGGGCAAAATATAACAAAAAACAACAAGGGCAAAAAGAAGCCCAATAGGAGGTTACAAGGTGGACCAAGCAGCTTATAAATAAAAAAACAGGCTTTATTATGTTCAAAGATTACAAACCTTTAAAAGAGCACAGATACCCCTACACCATATAAAATGAAAAAGACAACGTTGTATAATAAAAAAAAAAAGCTGTACAATCATCATACTCATTCACACATGTCAAATAAACATGGGCAGCACAGTGGCTAAATGGTTAGCACTTCTGCCTGGCAGTACTCTGGTCATTGGTTCGTATCCCAACCACGGCACCCCCTGCCTGGAGTTTGTATGTTTTCCCTGTACCTGCGTGGGTTTCCTCCGGATACTCCGGTTTCCTTTCACATTCCAAAGACATGCTAGTAGGTTAATTGGATCCTGTCTAAATTGGCCCTAGTATGTGTATCTATGAATGTGAGTTAGGGACCTTAGATTGTACGCCCCTTGAGGGTTAGGGACTGAAATTAATGTACAATATATATATACAGCACTGCGTAACTTGACAGCGCTATATAAGTAACTAAAATAAATAAAATAAACATAATGGCTGGCAGAAAGGGACTAACGTCCATCAAGGTTAAGTAAAAATCAGTGGAACCTAACGTGAGTACTGCTACAGCTATCTGAGAGTGTGTGTACTGGGTCCATAGTATTGGATCCAGACATGGATTTTCTCTTGAGCGAATGGAGGACCATAGATTGAGTATGTATGACAGTTATTTGCTCAGTTCAATCTGGTGAATATCAGCAATAAAGCCGTCACTAAGGTCCAGCTGCTCTACCTCGTGCATGTGTACATCTTTTGGCTGGTGCTTAAACAGCTAATGGGGGGGGGGGGGGGGTTTTAGGGATTGGGGCGGTAAAATCTCAGTTAAACTGCATGGTTTTACCACTCCCCAGCTTTATGTGTGAACAAGCCTTAGGGGGACCGCTGCCAAATGCAACTAAGGGTTCATTCACAAGTGCAACAGGCACTGCTGCTTCTCTGAAAAGTGATCCAAGTGTGTTTGACAGGTGGTGAGGAGGAGATATGTTGCATCCTCACCACCTGATTTAAACCAAATATTGTCATTCAATGTGCACACAATTTCAACACAGTAGTATGGAAATTAAAGGTTTAAATCAGGTGTGAGGAGGTGACACTGTGGACGGTGATCTTTGACTTCTCCCATGTTGTTCAGGTAGATCTCCACCTATTTAAGGTTGCATACCCCTGCTCTAAACAATGTTTTCCTCTTTCCCCTATCAGAACATTGGAATGCTGTTTACAACTCCTGTTTACATGCTAGTCTGAAATTATTCAGCGTTGTTTCAATTAGTTACAAAACTTATATATGTATTTATTAATGTCCAATTGTTCTTTTATATTTACAGATCTGTTGACCTTGTTTCCAGCTGACCCGTTTAAGGGGATCCACACAGTGAATTTAGAAAACAACAATTTGACGTCTTTTAGTGGTTTGATTTTCCTGCCCCACATAAAGGTAAATTGGATTATTAATGGTCTTATGTTAATATTTATTTTTGACAGGTCATCTTCCTTAATTAATACAAAACCAATTGGTGCAACCAAACTAATGTGACAGTGTTACTTAAAGAAATGTTGCATGCTAACACCAATTAAGTGAAATCACACTTGATTTACATCAATAATATCCAAACTAGGGCAGTGCAACGTAATCTATAAAAAATTAAAACAAAATAAACCACTAAATAAAAAATAGAAACAATATTAACTGGTGTACTACTCCACTATGTTCATATAATGTGCAACAAAATATATAGTCGAAAGCCACAACATATAATATTATTATACAGGATTTATATAGCGCCAACAGTTTGCGCAGCGCTTTACAAAATGAATATAAAGTCCAAAGTGAATATTGGTGTTGTTCTTGTAATCACTGCTGTGACACTGTTTTAAAGAATAAACAAATGTGCTCCGTGTCTCCAGCACCATATAAGTAAGCCTCTGACCTCTCACCTGCATTACTAGAAGGGTCAAAGCCAGCAGTGTTCCCCTCAGGGATGATGATAACTCTGGTTTGTATATATCAGGACCTCATTCTTTCCTCCTCCAGATGGGATACACCACTCTTCCCCAATTCAATTATGCTCGATATAAAAATGAAAGGAGAGGAAAGACAGAGGTCCTGATATTTACAAATCAGAGTTATCATCATCCCGGAGGTCAACACTGCTGGCTTTGACCCTCCTGGTAATGCAGGTGAGAGTCTCACTTATATGGTGCTGGAGACACAGAGCACATTTGTTTATTCTTTGGAACACAATGTCACAGCAGTGATTAAAAGATCAACATCAACATTTACTTTGGAGTTTGTTTATTCATCATCCTTGATTGTTCAATTTTTATTCTCATGTTGTGTCACCTTAACTTTAAATATTTGTAAGCTATTAGAAACCAGAGTCAGAATTCCTGATAGAGCAGCCATCAAGAAAGTGGGTCTGATATCACTACAAATCATGTAGCCTTTTCTGTTTACATTAACTCTGAAATGGTGTGTGTGTTTCTGAGACTGCAAACCAATGATCTTTTCATAATTGAAGACTATGCAGTGTACATAAGCTTCATTTTATGAATAAATCAGGAGCAGGTAATGTTACCTCTTAAGGAGATGCGTGATCAGGGAGGCTTGCTGAAATATGTGGATTTCTCACTTTGTGTCAGGCCTGTGCGTTATCAATATTGCAGTCTGCTTGCATTTATATATTCCAAGAACACATACACTGGATGCAGCCTTAATGCCATTATCAAGCATTCATGAAATTGCTCAAGGCTCAGCTAGCCATTGTGCAAATTTTCAAACGAGTAAAAAAACAGTAGATCAGTGTTCAGGTTCTGACATGGGGGGGTCAGGCAAAAAAGTCCAGGTTCGACCTGCTATGAATAATATGAGTGTGTAATAGCACATAACTACTCGGGCGTAACAAAAAAAGAAAACAGAAAAAGGAAGGGGGGGGGAAAAAGGGGGGGCAGAAAAAGAGAGGGAGGAGGAAGAGAGGAGGAGCCTTGGAATGCCTCAATGAGCCCAAGACCCCTATCCCATGGAAGAAATATATTTCAACATTAGCTGCTTGTTGTACTTTATGGAATTTCAGGACAGAAAGTCCAGTAATATCACATATAGCAGCTTCCTCTTATCTTATATAAATGGGGCTGGACTCACACTGAAGATTTGCTATTACTGAACATCTACAGTGCCTTGAAAAAGTATTCACACCCCTTGAAATTTTCCACATGTTGTCATGTTACAACCAAAAACATAATGCATTTTATTGGGATTTTATGTGATAGACCAACACAATATGGCACATAATTGTAAAGTGGAAGGAAAATGATAAATGGTTTTCAACATTTTTACAAATAAATTTCTGAAAAGTGTGACGGTCATTTGTATTCAGACCCCCTGAGTCAATACTTTGTAGAACCACCTTTCGCTGCAATTACAGCTGCAAATCTTTTTGGGATGTCTTTACCAGCTTTGCACATCTAGAGAGTGAAATATTTGCCCATTCTTCTTTGCAAAATAGCTCAAGCTCTGTCAGATTGGATGGAGAGCATCTGTGAACAGCAATTTTCAAGTTTTGCCACAGATTCTCAATTGGATTTAGGTCTGGACTTTGACTGAGCCATTCTAACACATGAAACTGTGTTTACCGGTGTATAAACTGACAGTTTAAGGAATCCTCAAACTGAGACGTATGATAAAGAATAAGTCCCTGCTCAGATTTCAGCTTGAGCCACTGGACTTTGTTCTCAAAAGGCTTTCTACTACACACTCGCTAGATGTGCAAAGCAGGCAGAGACATACCCAAAATGACTTGCAGCTGTAATTGCAGTGAAAGGTGGTTCTACAAAGTACTGACTGAGGGGGGCTGAATACAAACGCATGTCACATTTTACAGATTTTTTTTGTAAAAAATGTTGAAAACCATTTATCATTTCCTTCCACTTTACAATTATGTGCTACTTTGTGTTGGTCTATCACATAAAATCCCAATAAAATAAATTTCTGTTTTTGGTTGTAACATGACAAAATGTGGAAACTTTCAAGGGGTATAAATACTTATTCAAGGCACTGTATCTGTCAGAAAAGTTTGCTTTTGAATTTTACATGGTAGCTACCACTGACCTCATGAAAATCATAATTGTGAGTCACAGATCCAAAACAAGGTTGCTGCAAGTGTCATAAAAGTGTCAGAATTACTTAGATTCATAAATGTTCAGGAGCAGAAGCTGCATTAAATCCAGAGTCACAGTCAGAAAACTGCATTCTCCAAATCTATGGGAACTTTCATTATTCCCTCATGACGGTTTTAAAGGTTGAGTTTATTACATATCAGAGATCTGCTTTATCTGCCAAAGGATTTGAGTGTTGGTCCATCCTGTCTGGAGGTTTACACAGCTCTATCACACAGCACATCCCTGACTGGCAGGTCAAGAGAGCTGGTTTTCCTCTGTTGAAGTTAAGTAAATTCTTACAGGTCTTGTCCTTTCTCCAGCCTGTGATTGGAAAGTGAAGTGAGGAGTAGTACATTGATGAGCTTGTGTCTCTATCACCCTCCTATCAGCATGTCCTTGTTAGCAGATGGTCGCTGTTGTATGACTGATTGGCTCCTTACATACAGGAGATTGCAACAAGTAGATACCAAGTCAAATTCAGTTATTTTCACTGCTGGCATTAAATGATGTATTAATGAATGCAAAGCTGCATTCATTTGTGTCTTTTACACTCTGCCTAGAGTTCAGCTTTAATTTTTCTGCACTATGGGGAAGTCATCAAGATGAGTAAGACTGCTGCTGCTATGATTAGGAAGAAGGAGATCTTATGGCAAAGAAGGAAATATCTAGAAACTCTGGCAGACAGAGGAAAAGATTAAAATTGGATGGACCAGCACACCAGACTTTATAATAACTGAAGCATCCATTGTGGATGAATGATTCCTTTAAAACACAATAGGCACCGGATTTTCATTTATATTCCATCATCTTTCTGTATTGTCCGGCCATCTGTGTATACAGCGATGTGAATCTATAATGCTGAATGTGTTTATTTTTTGACAAGTATTGGCAATATCGTTGTCAAACAAATGTAGATTTTACCCATGTAGTGGCCTGGAAATAGCAGAGCAGAGACACTGAATTCGCTGGCTGTTCTGAAGTGGTTAAATAAAAAGGAGTAGATTTTTGCAGTCTAATAATAGCACAGCTCTCAAGAAAGATATTTCAGTGGTAAGACTGGCATCACTATAAATAAGTAATATTAATGTAGAATATGTATATCCATCGAACCCAACTCTGTAGTTAAGTGCACTATGAATAATACAAGAGAGCACATTTCAATCTGACTTAATGTATATATTTACAATAATGAGAGGGATGTCGGTGGATTCATTTGTGTTCCATTAAAGGTAATCAAGCATATGTTTATACTTCATACTGACACCTCCCTCATAGAGTGAATGTTTAGATAGATATTTATGAAGACAAAGCTTCTACCTTTATCTGAAAATATATAATACCAATGAAAATGTGTCCATTTGCTGAAGAGTACAAATGTAGAAATAGTAATAAAATATAAATTTTTAACAACCAAGTGAGGGATGAGTGTTATAAAACAAAATGTTCATGTGGGGTGGATGGAATAATTGTATAAAAATATAAATTGATAAATGTCACTTTAGTTCTGCATGGAAGTGTAATTCCAAGAAATGACTGTATAATGAACAAGGTAAAACAAAATTGTGTATGATCATTTTGGATGGATATCCTCTGTCCTTGTGGCCTTGATGTCATTATGCCAAGGGGTAGATGTTGGCAAAGAAGTGAAGACCAGTCTGAGAAGATCAGTGGGTTGTTTTTTGGGGGTGGTCATGGATGGAGAGTTGAGTAAGGGAAGATTATGAATTAGTTGTATGGTGAGAGAGTTGGTTGTTGTGAGTCATCAATCTAGAGTAGTGAATAGAGAGGTCTTTCATTTAGGGAATGGTTGCATGACATCATTTTGGGGTGGGTGTAGATCTTTCAGGATGTGGTCATATGATATTGTCTGTTGTCTCTCTTCTACACTGAAGCCAGCTCTGGGAGCTGATCATGTGAACAGACCGGAGCAACCTCCGAATAGGTAAGTATAGACAGGGAAATTAGAATAGACTTAGCGTGGGGGTAGGAACAGGTTTAAGTATAGTTAGTATTTGACTGAACTTCCACTTTTAACTTTATAATTTACATTTAAGGTAACATAGGCAGCCTAGTCTCTTATCAGGACTCTCAAAAGATTCTCAAAAGAATGTGACTAAGTACAAAACATTATTAGTGCCGTATACATAATGGGTGCAGTGTGCAAAATATACAAAATGGAACACAGTTTTATGCAGAATTTACAATATCTTTCATAATCTCAGTAGGTTAGAAATTAAAATACAATGTGGAAATGGAGATAAATATATTAATTTATTTTTTGCTATAGACACACTGTAACTAACCTTTGTTTTTTTGTTTTTTTTCTCTAGAATTTGTATCTAAATTATAATCACATTGTGTCAATCCTGCCCAAGCAAAAGCCTCAGAATCACTTAACCAACAGGCAGATACTGCACCAAAAAGTCAACTCCAGTGGATATGGGCAGCAGGGCAAGGCTAATAGGTAACTGCTTAATCTTTGCTTCAATGTAATGATATCCATCTTTATGAAGGTAATGTGAGGCTCCCTGATTTTACATATTTTTAATGAAATGTATATCTGTGATATTTACTGAAGGGGTTTTGGAAAATGTACATTACAATTATAGCTCAACCCTGTAGCCTCCCTGTATTCCCGAGTGTAGCTCGGGGTAAAGTTTCAGTACCACAAGCGGTAACCCCCAGCTACACTCGGGCTTACCATGCGGCGCTGCTCCGGGATCTGTTCTGCACTTACCTTGTCCTGCACTCCCGCGATGTCCCTCCTGCAGTGTCCCCGGCAATTAAATCCAGCGGATGCTGGCATCTGTCATCTGGGTTCCGTCCCCTGCGAGCATCGGGACATACGGGGACGGAACGGCGGGAAATTTGAAAATGACAAAAAGTGACATTCACTAAAATCACTAAAATTACATAGTAAAACATTACTGTATCAAACCATTTCACATACATTTTGTCCCGAGTGCTTTGTCCTGTGCCCTGCCTGCATTTTTACTGTTCTTTCTGCCTGGAAACTGAGAAACGTCCATGGCGTCCAAAAAGCGTCCCTTTAGGTCAAAAGCGGTTTTAGACCGGCTAGAGAACAGCGATAGTAAATTAGAACCACTTGCAGAATTGAGTGATAATGATTCGTGGGGAAATTCATCATCAGACACTGAAAACGATTTTGCGACTTGTTGTGCGAACTTGGTGCTATATTTAAAATTTCAGTGTTTTTGGTTTGATTATATTATTGAATTAAATGGATTATTATATTATTATTATTTTTTATGATTATTTATTAAATTATATTTTATGATTTCGTGTTTCAAGTTTTATCCTACCCGGGATGTTTACTGGACTCGGACAGATTTCAGTTAGTTATTCCAAAAAATTACAGGCCTGCAATAAAAAAATACATATTTCCATGCAAAAAAATGTACCGTTTTGAGCACAGAAATATGGACATAATCAGACCGCTAGGGAGGTTAAAGATGAATTCCAGGCATGGTATATTTTTACTTAGTTACATTGGTCCAGCTTGTAACTTCTGTATGTGTATACCATACCTGACCAATGCCCCTGGAAGCTGAAAATCAGGTGGACACCTCTATTTGAGTAATCTCCACTTGCTTCAGGATCCTGTGCTGAGTGGCCAGCCTGAAGTACTGTGAACACAGGAGGTTAGCTACTCATCATGGACACCATTTAGAGAATGCTTTGCAATTTCTGATTTAATACAAAGTGTTCTCTGATTTTACAGGGTGGAGAGTGTGATGTGACGTCATCTCATCCTATCAGAAAATGCTTTGCAGTGGACATGGGGCCTGACAATCATTGACACACCAGTAATTGTGGAAAGGGCTTTATTTAAACAGAAAAGGGAAGGAAAAAAGGGAGTTTAAAAAAATTCAACAAATGCAGCATTAGATAATAGCGGATATGGTGGATGGCAAAATAACACACAATTAACTGTAAAGGAGCATGGCCTAGCTAGTACTCTCAACTCCTGACTATACCACTGGCCAGTAGGAGATTTAGCTACAGTCCTGCCAGCACTGGGGCCCTTTAACTCTCTTGGTGGAAAGCTCACGCTCAAGCTGTAATCGACAGAGAAAATAAATGATCCGATCCCCCTTGGCAGAACTTCACAAAGTGGTGGCCCTTGAGCCTCCCACCACACCGATGCTCAAATGAGATCCTTCCAGGCATAATCTGATCCTTGATGGCCATTCTTCAGTCACAGGGATTAAATGCACAGGGATTGAAGATAGGCCACAGCTTCAGAGTGAGGTTAGGAGAAAGGCAGCCCACCCTTAACCTCAAGCATTTACATACTTGGGGGTCCTTTTCATGTGGTTCTGTTCTATATTGCTTTGTGAGAGTGGCTTCCTGGAGTTGATCTGTCTCTTTCCTGTGTGATCGGCAGTTTTGCCCTGCTCTGCAGTTTTGTCCCTCAGCTCACACAGCATCAGCTTCTGGCAGACAATTTCACTGTCTCCAGCTCAATACAGCTCCCCCTTCCAGATTTGTGTGGCTCCTTCCTCTTTTTTTCTGGTCACAGCCTGGACTTTTTCCATTTTCTCTCCAACTTGTGGTTAGGGTCTAAAGTCCCAGGCTGCATTTGCATCCAGTCAGAGTCCTAGTTTTTCTTGGTTTCCACCAAGATGACTGCTGGAGACACTTTCCCTTCATGGTGCTGGTTGACAAGGTTAAAGTCTGGCTAGCCAGTCAGCATCCTCATTCCGTTCCTTCTAACTGCACTCTGTAAGTCATTGCCTGGGAGGGAGTAACAAGCTGCAAACAGAGTGAAACATCCTGTTGAATAGCTTAAAGGGCCGACAGCCAAGGCAACACTATATACAGAAAGAGAGAAAAATTCCATTGTCCCCAACTCATCTCTTGATAACCCAGAGTCTTTGGAGTCACTCTGCACATGCTCAGTTTAGTGTGTATGTGCTGGAGAGATTTTGTTTTTCCTTTGGGAGAGTGCATGTGATCAGCACAGGGCTAATCAGCGCTGTCCAGGCAGAGAGTCAGGGGTCCTGCAGTCTCATACGGCAGTCATAGGAGAATGAAAACTCCTCCTACAAGCTTTAACCAGTGCTCAGTTGGGACGCTGATAGAAGTCATAAAACTGCTTTATACTGCTGATGAGAAAAGGTAATTAGCAGTTTATATTTACTAAACTAATCTAAATTAATTGCATCTCCATGTTCTGTGTACTGTGCGAGACCAGATATAGTGAATACAGAATCTTGGGTTTAGCAACACTTTAAATATAAAAGTCACATAGTGCAAGAAATACCTTAAATGAATGACATGTAGTTTACTAAAACACTGGATATTATAAACATTTCATTTACCATTTCTTGTAATAAAGGAACAAATTTCAAAAAGTGGAAACTGCATTTATTTTTTTTACGCACTCCCCTACTACATTTATACACTTATCCCAGCATTTAACTAATGCCTGGAAAGCTTCATAGAAAGACTTGTCAGTATGCCTGAATCATCCCAGGACAGCCTGCTTCACTTTATCAGTGCTGAAATGCTGACCTCCAAGGAACTCTTTTAGGGTCCAAACAAGTGGAAATCACTCGGAGCGAGGTCTGGGCTGTAAGGGGGATGTGGCAATACTTCCCAGTCGAGTTGCTGTAATATGCACGTAGTGCGGTGAGCAGTATGAGCTTGTGCATTGTCCTGAAGAAACAGGACTCCCTTAGTGACCAAACCAGGCCGGTTTTTCCGAAGACTTGTATGCTCATCACTCAGGAGATGACAGTAATATTCAGTGTTGATAGTAGCACCACCGGGTACAAAACCCACATGAATAATGCCATGTTTTTCCCAGAAAACACTTGTCGTCAGGTTCCATGCGCTGCATGTTCACAGGAGTAATTGCTGTGGGCTTGGAACCACCACGACTGGGATTGTCACTGACAGACATGAAGTCTTCTGTAGACATCTGCAGGTTTTACACCTTTGTTCACAAGAAACTTCATCACCACATGCTGTTCTGTGTACGCACTAGCACAGTTGTCTGCCATCTTGATCTGGACTAGCCCACCACATGTGCACCACCTATCAGTAATAAGACGCACTTGACACTTACTACTGTGTGTAATACCATCACGCTAGCGTCCCTTTTTATACCTGTAAAATCAAACGTCCTGGTTTGATTTGAACTCCCCTCGTACTAGCAGTAGTTGAGAATTTCAGGCCAATTAATATCTTTTATAGCTAGATTATTGTAAATGTTTTTCAGCTTTGAACAAAGTGAGGAAGCGTAGGACCCTAATGGTGAGACTTCCTCATTTCCAGATAGCATTACAACCTATGACCTATGGTTATAGTCTTCCCCTAATCTGTTAGAAAAGCAGTTCTTTAATGCTGTCCTTTTCTCTCCTAAAGATTTCCTTTTCACTTCCTGTCCTAGTGACACATTGTTACCAGAATTGAAAGTGAGGTAATATCTTCCTGTGGAGGCCACAGAGAGCATTCTAAACTAACATAGGTTCCAGCCATTCCGCACTCTTAACACAAAAAAATGGCTACACTGCAAGATATAGTGAGCAATGTGTTATATCCAATAGTATGGGTGTGTGCATATAAAACAGTAGGTAAACAGTATTTTTGTTTTTTTTTTTTTTCTTTTTTTACAGGGATGCATTGTTTGGCGAGACTCTGACCCCAATAATGCAGAGTTTAGAAGTTCTTCATCTGGGTTTCAATGGAATCAATAATTTGCCTCAGCTGCAGCTCAGTAGACTAAGGAATTTGAAGTCCCTTTTTCTGCAGGGTAAAATAAAAACTGTTTTGAGCATTGGTATATAGGAAATTGCTTTTTTTAATTAGCAGCTTGCAGGGAACAAAAACTACACTATATGCCAAAAAGTTATGGAAACTGACCATTGCGCCTACCTGTATGAGTCTTGGTGTCACCAGTGAACGGTTAATTTTACATAATACAAAGATATTTTACACAACTGTGTTCTTCCAGCCTTGCGGCAGCAGTTTGGGGAAGGCCCTTTTCTGTGTCAACATGATTGTGCAGAAAGCTAGCTCCAAAAAGACACGGGGGTTGATTTACTAAAACTGGAGCTTGCATAATCTGGTGCAGTTCTGCATAAAAACCAATCAGCTTCCAGTTTTTTTTGTGAAAGCTTAATTGAAGAAGCTGAAGTTAGAAGCTGATTTTTCATTCTCCAGTTTTAGTAAATCAAGCCCATGGTTTGACAAGTTCGGTGTGATCCCTGACCTCATCCCTGTTAAAGGATAAGTTCACTTTTACAAAAAAAAAAAAAAATAATAAATGCACATTTTTTGGAAGGTGAAAAAATATGCATTTACTGTTTATTTTGTTAGGGATATGTAGTCCCTACAGCAGATTGTGGGTGTAATGCCACGGTCCTGCAGACTGTTTATCTGTCTGCCCATACCTCTGATACGGGCAGGCAGTAACACTCTGAGAGGAGGCTCACTGAACTACCCAGAACTCTCTACAGCACCCGTAGTAGTTCATTGAGAACTACAAGCCAACAGCCACAAAGGCTGTCAGGACTTTTCAGTACACAGTACACTGTGAATAGATGATGTGGCGGGGCGGATGGAGCCGTTTTTTTTTTCCCCAGATTGTCACAGCCAATGGGAGGAGAAGATACCCCTCAAGCTGTCACAATGGGGAATCAGGGGGTGCGAGGGCCAGTGCATTTGTAATGCACATGTTACAAACACCTTTAACCTCCCTGGTGGTTTTCCCGAGTGTAGCTCGGGGTAAAGTTTCAGTACCACAAGCGGTAACCCCGAGCTACACTCGGGCTTGCCATGTGGCGTTGCTCAGGGATTCCCTGCAGCGCTTACCTTGTCCTTTGCTCCCGTGATGTGTCCCTTGCAGCATCCCCGGCCATCTCCTCCGGCCGATGCCAGCATCCGGCTTTCGTGTTCCTGTCCCTGTGATGTCGGGACATATGGGCGCCAGAACCGGCGGCAAATTTGAAAGTTTTAAAAAATGTCATTTTTTTTTTAAAACGAATATTACATAGCAAAACATTGCTGTTTCAAAGCATTTCAGATACATTTTGTCCCTACTGCTTTGTCCTGTGCCCTGCCTGCATTTTCACTGTTCTTTCTGCCTAGAAACTGGGAAAAGCCCATGGCATCCAAAAAGCGTCCCTTTAGGTCAAAATCGGTTTTAGACCAGCTAGAGAACAGCGATAGTATATCAGAACCACTTCCAGAATTGAGTGATAATGATTTGTGGGGAAATTCGTCATCAGACACTGAAAATGATTCTGCGACTTTGCTCAGCGATGTGCGAACTTGGCGCTATATTTCAAATTTCAGTGTTTTTGGTTTGATTATATTATTGAATTAAATGTATTATTATATTATTATTTTTTTATGATTATTTATTAAATTATAATTTATGATTTCGTGTTTCAAGTTTTATCATATCCGGAATGTTTACTAGACTCTTGTTCGGACAGATTTCAGTGTATTATTCCTAAAAATGACAGGCCTACAATAAATAACCTACATATTTCCATGCAAAATAATGGTACCGCTTTCAGCACCAAAAATCTGAAATAATCATACCACCAAGGAGGTTAAGCATTGGAAAACATTAAAAAGCAAATTGATGGCCAGATTTTGTTATCCAACATCAGTACCTGACCTCACAGATGTTCTGTTGTCTAAATGGACAAAAAATCCCCAAGACGCAGTCCAAAATCTTGTGGAAAGCCTTCCCAGAAGATTGGGTTGTGGGCAACAACAAACTTTTAGCCATACAGTTTATATATTATATCCATAAGCACTGTCGTTGCGTGAACACATATGCTTTAAAGGGAAAGTTAGTTATTGTTGCAGTATTTATCAGAGATGAAATAGTGATCACATGATCAGGAACACTTTAAATGGTTCCCAAGATTAAGAACCAGCAGTCATTTGAAGTGTCATTAGCTAGTGAGTCTTCAAGGGAAGAATGTATATTAATGTATTATCAGCGGGCAATGTGCCAGGGAACAATAATATACAGATTGCTGAGAAGGGGTTATGTAAGGAGATCAAAAATTTAAAGGGAAATCCGGGGAAACACCATACTGATCACACTCAGTTTATGGGAATGGGAGTAATAGCAGCACATATAGCATGCCAAGGCAAATGTTGAGTATGGCTGAATTATGATAACATTAGGAGGGACTTGAAGGTGTTTGATTACATTAAATCTGAGCCTACTCTTCTGCAGTTAGAGTTTGCATAATGCATAGAGTGCAGGGGCCACGAGTAAGTAATCCACAGGGTGTAGAGGCCATTTTTAAGTAAAGAACTCAGAAATGTGCCTCATAAGCTGAGGAAGTTGATGGACAGGTTGGGTACGCAGGGGAAACAATGGGTTAGGTGGACAGGTCATGTTTGATTTTGTAGGTGAACAGGTAATGTGTGGTGTGAGGGATTAGGTGACCAGTTCAGATTTGAAGGTTTAGGTGGATAGAAGTGTACAGGGATACAGCGAGAGATAGGTCACAAGAGAGAGATAGGATAGGGGGGTTTGGGTACAATAGGGGGGGGGGGGGGGATTGGAGACAAGTACCGTCTTTCAGCACATAAGTGGGAAAGAGATACAGATCAAACACAAAGCACAAAAAAAGATCAGCTGGTTGCTAGTAAGAGAGCAGTACAGAACATGGTTAGGCTAGGTTCAGACTTGTGTGTACATTTTCATGCATTTTCTGTGTGTTTGTTTTTATGCATCTTTGATGCATTTTGCATGCATTTGTCATGTCTTTATCACTCAGGTTTCATATTCTACCACTGAAGTCTATGGGACTAAAAACACAAGGAAGCATGTTGCATAGGTGTGAGCGTGCCCCATAGATAATAGGATTCCCATAGATGTGCATTGTTGCACAATGGCGGAAGTGCAACAATTTGCACAGGTGTGAATGGGGACTTACGCCACTTGCTTTCCCCTCTCCTATTAGTACTTTTCAAACACATCTTCCCTGTTCTATTGCCTCTCCCTCCTCCTCATCTTGTCACACTAAATATTATTGGTGATATAAAAGAGACAATATTATGAGTCCTTATAAAGTATAAGGTCTTTTGAGTTAATTGAAGGGGAAAAATTAAGTCAAAGCAAGAGGCAATAGATAAAAATGGTCAGAGGATAAAATGTAAATATCTGACATTACTGAAAACATATGACAAAAAAATATCACATTTTGACTCCGGCTACATGATGATGTAATTGCACAAGTGTGCATTCACATGGAGGAGAGCCTATGGATAGAAGTCCCTTCTCCAGGAGACAGTGCATTGACTACAAAGTCTGCAAAATTAGTTTTCACTTGAGTACACTCAGTTTTAATGGGGATTAATAGTAGCACATGTAGCACCCCTGATGAAGTCACTAAGAGTGGCCAAACATGGGATCAACGCATTAGGAGGGGTGTTTATAGAGGAAAGATAGGAATCACCAGAAAAGGAAAGGAGAGATTAGAGAGCCTATAACATATAAAATAAGTGAAAAGAAATGTAGGAAGTTGGCAGCAGCATTATGAGATAGAACATGAAATCGAGAGAGAGAGCAAAATATTTGGTATATAGAGGTAATGCTGGTGGCGGTTAATTAGACTGCAGTGTTCTTAATACAGGAAAACACGGTGTGGGATAGATGTGCAGAAAAAAGAAAGACACAGAGACCAGTAATCGATATGTAAATAAAATGTAATACATTTTCATGTATTATTAGTATTACTAAAGTTACTTTAGTATTCTGTGAGTAGAGTGCTGTATGCATCTGTTTAGTGAGGCATTTGATGTTTATCTGCCACAGAGATATAATTTAGTAATTTATAAGAGGATTGTGTGAATACAGTATGTGTTTACTTCTAATCTGGGTTGAGCACTGTTCCTCAGTATCCATTTGTTGCCTGGATGCACTTAGGGAAACCTCTTCCACAGTCAGCGGTGGCCAGGCTGTGTAATCAGCTAGCTGCTAGTAAACATGCAGTGCCTTGACTGTGACAGAAGTTCCTAGAGATACAATCATGGACAGAAATATTGGCACCCCTGCATTTCTGTCGGATTATGCACTACTTCATCTAGAAAATTGTTGCAATTACAAATGTTTAGGCATTCTCATGTTTATTACTTTTGTTTGTATTGGTATGACACAAAAATGGGGAGCAACAAAAAGCCAAACTGACATTCCACGCAAAACCCTAAAAAATTACCAGACAAAATTATTGTCACCCTCAATTTAATGTGCATAATTATGTAAATATATGTCCGCGATCAGTATCCCAAGATTAATAAATCACTAAATTTGAATAGCTGCTATCAAAAACTGTCTATACACCAAAACCACAAACCTAATACATAAATAAATTTTGCAGGGCTAAAAAAAACAACAAAAATCCACATAAATATACACCAGTGAAAATAATGTAACTAAAAGCGATATAAAATAAGAAAGTTCCAATATAAACTCTTCTTCAGTGACGTATCTCAAACTTTCAATCATATGATGACTTAAATTGTGTTGAACCTCCACCTTAGGTAAAAATGCACACTCACCAAACACTGTTGCTATTTATGCAAATAGAACAGTAAAGCAGGCTTGATCACCAGTTGAGGCTTCACACCAGGACCTTGATGCAATTCAGTTCGATCTCTCTCCATTATTTGCATAGCCCATTCAATCCAAAAAAGACCACTTCAATCCTCGATCCCTCAGGAAGGAACAAACAGCACTCCGGCATAAAAGTCAGGACGTCAGTCAGCCGCCACCCTAAATGTAATATTTGGCAGCACACCCCTTGGAAAAAATAACTGAAATCAATTGCTTCCTGTAACCATCAATAGGTTTCTTACACCCCCCTACTGGAGTTTTGGACCAATCTTTTTTCGCCAACTGCTCCAGGTCTCTCAGATTGGAAGGGTTCTTTTTCCCAACTGCTGTTTTGAGATCTCTCCACAGGTGCTCTATGGGATTGAGATCTGGACTCATTGCTGGCCAGTTCAATACTCTCCAGTGCTTTGTCTTAAACCATTTCTGGGTGCTTTTTGACGTGTGCTTTGGGTCATTGTCCTGCTGTAAGACCCATGACCTCTGTTGGAGACCCAACTTTCTGACACTAGGCCCTACATTGCACCCCAGAATTCTTTTGGTAGTCTTCAGATTTCATAATCCCATGCACACAGTCAGAGATCCAGTGCCTGAAGCAGTAAAGCAACCCCAAAACATCAGTAAACCTCCACCATGTTTGACTGTAGGGACTGTATTCTATTCTTTAAAGGCCTCATTGCTTTTTTCTGCAAACTGTAGAATGATGGACTTTACCAAAAAGCTGCAATTTTGTTTCGTCTGTCCACATCACATTCTCCCAAAAGGATTTTGGCTTCCTCAGGTAAGTTTTGGCAAATGCCAATATTTCTTTTTTATGTTTCTGTGTCAGCAGTGGGGTCCTACTGCATCTCCTACCATAGTGTCCCTTTTCATTCAGATTGCGATGTATACTGCGAGTTGACACAGTTGTACCCTGTGCCTGAAGGTCAGCTTTAATTTGTCTGGAAGTTGATTGAGGTTCTTTAGCCACCATTCGATCAATCCTTCGTTGCAATCTTTGATCAAGTTTTTCTCTTTCATTCACGTCCAGGGAGATTAGCTACAGTGCCATGGGCTGTAAACTTCTGGACAATGTTGTGCACAGTGGACACAGGAACATTAAGCTCTGTTAATTGATACAGGTGAGTTTAGATACAAACTGCAGGAGCATCACAAACTTGGAATGCAATTATTTCTTACAATTTTGAGTAGGTGCCAATAATTTTGTCCAGTCCATCATTGAGGTTTTGCGTAGAATGTGTTAGATTTGGCTGTTTGTTTCTACACTTTTTTGTGTCATACCAATACAAACGAAATAAACCTGAGAATGCCTAAACATTTGTAATTGCAACAGTTTTCTGGGTGAAGTGGTGAATTATCTGACAGAAATGCAGGGGTGCCAATATTTTTGACTCTGACTGTACATCCAGGCAACAGAGGATCCCGAATGTTTGCCAGCAGCTGGCAGATTATACAACCCTGCCAGGGTTGACTATGGCAGTATACTTTGTATAATTACTTTCTCAGCATCCTTGGTTGCCTGAACATGCCTTAGGAAGTTATACAAACTATTCTGCCATAGTAATGCTCATAGAGAGCTGGAACACTGCAAACAATGCTTTTAACTGATAGAGAGGTCTGTGGCTACAGTGCTGGCTGTAGTTCCCCCTTGGGAACACCCACAAATTGGGCTTCAGCTTGGGGTGGAGCTGCAGCCAGCACTAACAGAAATACAAAAGTGTTTTAATTCATAATGGGCCCACAGTTCAGAACGCAATCTATGCACTTGGTTCCCTGGGGGATTTTTTTATGTTGTTGCGATACTTCTTTAAATTTGGCTGCAAGGGCCACACAATAAGCACCAAAGGCCACATGCGCCCCCAGGGATGCAGGTTGGACACCAAGGCTTTACATTATCAAACTTACATTATCAAACTTATCAAAACATTGGAGTTGCCCTTTTAAAGAAAGGAGTGAAATTGATTGCACAGGTATAATTATGTGATAATCCTTAGTATTCAGGCATCTATTGTTCTGTACTTTTCTCTCACATCAGGAAATGAGATCAGCCAAGTGGAAGGACTTGAAGGTTTACAGTTTCTCCAAGAGCTTGTCCTGGACCATAACCGTATTAAACTTATTACCGAGACTTCCCTTGCAAAGCAGAGTTCTCTGGTATCTCTACGACTGGAGGAAAATAGACTGAGGGAAGTTACCAACTTACTTCACCTTATCAAGCTAAAGAAACTGTATATAGGATTCAATAAAATCCAGGTACAACATGGCCTCAGTGTTGTCTGATTGCTTTGTGGATTTCTAATCTGCCAACACAACACAGTTCAGGTTAAATTTTTAAAAAGTTTAATGTTAAAAAATGTTAAGGTAATTTGTTTAGTAAGAAGGTTAAAGTGATTGTAAACCTTCTTTTTTGATGATAAATGTGTCATACTCGCCAGCTCTGTGCAGTGGTTTTGCACTGAGCAGACCCTATGCATTAATGCAGAAAATGCATTAAGGTAAAAAACCTTGAACTCTGCTTAGCACTATTGGGGGCATTAATCAATTCTGCCCTACAGCACAGCAGTGCTAAACAGGAGCCCCCTTAGCTCCTTTAAAGCAGCAATGTGACAAAAGAAGACTTGCCCTTGACCACATCTTAATTCTGCATCTGTTTGGAAGGAAATTCTGCCCCATCTTCATTGCTAAGTCTATGCAAATCTGTCTCAGTTGGCTATCAAAGATTCCTGGTACAGGGGTCACAAGTACTCAGAAAAATTGCTGCATAGACTTTGCTAAAAGAGAAAAAGCCTGATTTTGCATATAATTGTGTCACTAATTTGTTTGATAAATGTTCCTCTATGTGGATCTAAAATTGCCACATCTGGGTCTTACGAGGCCATGTAAATGGATATCACAACCTGGATTTGAGACTATCTGTACTGAAGTCCTAATCCATACAGGTGACATGATCTCTCCAATTTTGAACACAAGAATAACTGTATATGACTTTTACTCAATTCTCTGCTTTTGTTTATGGTACATTTTTGTTATTACTACATGTTACCTACTGTACTGAAAATGTAATAAAAACCTACTGGAAGTAAAATTGGCACATACCATAACCCCAGTGAAATAGGTAAAAACTATATCTGTGGAAAGAACATTTTTCCATGAAGGTCCAACTTCTGTCAGATATGTGTGAAAATATTTTAGGTCCTGTGTGTGTGGTCACAATTCCTTCATGTTAATCTACTAGGCTGAGGCAGAGAATTTGTGTTCATTATGACATTCGCATCAGTTACATTCTACATTCGCTTTTGTAGTATATTATACTACTGCAAAAATCATTGTGAACAAATAGAGGTTGTTCACAATTTTTTTTTAAGAATAATAATATCACAATAAAAACTTATTTTTATATTGTTCACTAGGAAATTTCAGAAGTAGAAAAGCTAGAGGCTCTCCCAACACTATTAGAGCTGTCTGTGTCTGGAAATCCAGTAAGTATACTCTGTTAAAAATAATTTCTTAAATCCTTTGAAGGAATCAGATTACTGAAGCTTAGAGTCTTATAATCAGCTGTAGAAATACAGCCATGTGAGCCATGGGGACCCACAGGCTGGTGAGATTTTATTTCATCACTTACTTTTTGGAAGTCTCTTCTGGAGCCCCAGGCAGTGATGGAGTGCTACTATTGCTTGTAGGGAACCATAGGGGAAATAAAAAAATGACATACAGTACTGTATAGGATGCAGTCTGTCATATACATTAATATAGCTGTTTTTGTTTTTCTGCCCTGTAACATTGGTTTATTACCTGTCACCAGTAGATCGCAGCCTTTTACAGGAAGTGTAAACATAACAAGTCCAGCAAGAGTGCCAGTTACAAGGGTTGGGACAAACCATCTAACACTGGTTAGGGTGCTAACAATTGTCAACTTTTTACATTTTGTTTTTTTTAAGTTGAAAAGCTATTGCTACTGCTTAATACTGTAATGTTAGCTGGATTTAAAGTATACCTTAAGCCATTTGTGCCCATTGGGGAGTGGATACTTTCTAGAAATGATTTTATATTCACTTGTGATGTGCTTTTTGAACTTGCTAAAAAAAAAATTGAACTCTCCAGAAAGAGTCAATTCCCTAGCACATCTTATTTGAAGATTTTTGTTTTAATGAATGGTCATGCAAAAAGGTCTCTTTAATAATTCCCTCTCCAGCAGCACATACTCACCTTCCCTTGCTCCTCTACTGCTCTGTTCAGCACTGGAAGTAGAGGAAATACCCAGTACTTCTGAGTATAGAGAAGCACGTGACAGATCTGGTGCTTGGTAATTGGCCACCAAAGCACCCAGCACTTTCACATGGGGGCAAAAAGAAAGGCCTGTGTAAAGTTCCAATTTCAGCAACCTGGAATTTACATAATGCCTTCATTCTAGGCTTCTAATGGTAAATGTGCAGCAGACAAGGGTGGTATTAAAGTGAAGATGTCGATTTGCTCTGGATAGGCAAGGCCCACTTTGTAGCACTAAAATCTGGAGGATTCACCAAATCTCTGTTATAGAGGAGCTGCAACCATTCACGAGTGACTGTTGATTACACTGGACATTTTAGAAGCCATATCCCACACCATATACTCAATTTATGCTCCATACGATTTACTGTTTATTCATTTTTGGCCAAGGCACAGGTTCACTTCAAGTTGTGTTGTAGCTTGCATAAAATGCAGAGCTCTAAAACAGGCTAATAATGCTCAGTTGCATGCCTTGTTTTTGGATCAGTAATCATGATATGTGTTTTTTTTTATTTATAATTCTACTCTTGTAATGAAGAATATATAGAAAACAAGGTCCTATTTTCACAGTAGTGAAACTAACAGTCTGTATGTTCTTCCATGTAGATATCCCGAAAAATGTTCCACCGTCAGCTGCTTGTTCTTCGGCTGCAGAACCTGCAGATATTAGATGGCATTGCTGTGACCAATGAGGAGAGAACAAGAGCAGAGATGTATTCCTTGGAACAGCAAGTACGTTTTCTATTTTTATTTGTAAGTTTTTTATTACAGAGTCACGCACAGCTTATTACACAATTGGGTAACATGAAACCAATACCTATATGCAGACATGGCTAACCTTAAAAAATTCTGCACCACTAGCTCCAGGTCAGTACAGTTATTGCAAGCTATCAGTTGCCACGGGGGTGAACATACACTGCCAAAAAAACTGCGAAACTGTGTCAACCAAGTCACATAGGATCTCATAAAGTACAAAACCAAGGTGAGGTGCCAGAGCCTCTTTACAGTAAGCAACGCTGAAACACGGTGTAAGGTTTTAATTTTGGTGCCAAAAATATGGAGAGATGCTCCAATAGGAGCTAGTGGGGGCAAAGGGTGAAAGGGGAAAATGGGAATGTTTAGAGGGTAAAGGGAGAAAAATTCTAAACACAAAAAAAAGGAGGGAGGGAAGAGAGTGCAAAATTTGTTTTGCAGCTGAATGCTCGAGGGCCGGGCATTGGCACAGAGGACATTGGGCATGTCACAGAGGACAGAGGGCATTGGCACACAGGACAAACGCCTGCTGACAGTCAGAAATGTATTGGCTAACTGTGTGAAGCCGACTTAATTCTTCTGGAATTAAGTGTGTGCTGTAGTCCCGGGAGAACTGAAAGTCGTGCCAGTAATACTATGTTTTCTGTGTAGGGCCACTAAGAGGCATTCCATTTCATTAATTTTGTTAGCCATAGCTATTCATTGTCCCTTCACCGGGGGATCTTGACTTTTCCACTTTTGTGGCATGCATATTTTCACAGCATTGAGGAAGTGGGTTAGGAGGGATTTCTTGTTTCTACTCCTGGAGAGTGGAGTCAAGTGAAGCAGACAGGTCTCCGGGCAAGGAAATACCAGTCAGTCTAAAACTCATACCACGGATCGAAACTCAGAAGTTGCGTATATGAGGACTAGACCAGCAGATATGCAACAGGGATCCATTGTTCCCTTGACATCATCAACACAGCCCAACACGGGCCAAACCATTGGGTAACTCTTATGCAGAGGGGTGAGTACCCGGTACCACCACATCATAGATTTGCAGCCAGACTCCAGAAAGTGACTGGAAATGGATGAGTGGAGAACAAATTATAGCATTCGCTCCCTCTTCTCCTCGGTGGAAGGCCGGTCCAGATTTCTTTATCACTTTTTTATAGAGCAGTGTAAATCCCTCTGGGGGCTTGGCCAGTAAGGAATAGAACAACAGTACAGCAAGTTGTAGCAGGGATGGGTCTAAGCAATATTTCTCAAAGGGTTACCATCCTCCACAGTACTTTGTGAAACTGGGTAGAGGTTAAGAAGGTATGTTTTCTTTTTCTATGTGAATGAAATTAGAATTTTCATGTACCAGAGTCTGCAGGTTTTGTATGATTATGGCTGGTACACATTTTTTTAGGTAAGTATCCTTCAGTCAGCTTTCGCCAACAATCTTTTCCTTGTTTCCAGTGACAAAATGATCAAAGGTGCTCTAGAAATCCATGTCCGTGCCACTCAGAAAAAGGCATTGTAAATCAATTTCCACCCCAAATTTAATTCTTTGGCTGCTTGAAATCAGGAAATCCTTGTTGTCAAAAGGCAATTGAAAGCTGAAAAATTGTCAAGTGTAGGGCCATCTTAATAGTTATCCAGTTTGTAAATTTAAAGGAAACCTCCACTGTCATCAAAATGGATACAGCAAGTAAATCTGTTAACAAGCCATTTTGTAATGTTATTCTTATTAAAGGTGTATAGGGATAAAGGTGATCCTTACTATATCCTACATCATAGTAATATATTATAATTAAATAAGAGTGTTTAAATCAATTAATACATATATATATATCATTAGACATGGCTAATATTGCTATCATATATCATTAAGTGAATATATTCTGCTCCATTAGCAGTTAAAATGGCTTCTGCTGCTACCAAAGGCTTATAAAAGATATTTTATGTAAGTTTATAGTGATTTTAGTGATTTTGTACAATTCGTCTTTTTTTAGGGTGATGACTAAAACATGTTCCAAATATTTAAATAATGCATTTAAATACGATATAGTTATGTACTCATCCAGCAGTTGGAGCTCTCTGTTCCTTTGCACATCTTTACCTCTTTACGGCCTGTTGAAAAAAAAAACATCTGTGAACACAGACTAAGCTTCAATTTACACTCAGCACTGAAAAATTCACACCATTGACTCCTCAGTTATTCATCCCTTTTGGCTGTCCATACACTGTACAATTTTCTTCCAATTTTCTGTCCAATTTCTGCCCAATTTCCTTTAGATTTACATTCAACTATGTAGTGCAAAGCCCTGCCTAATTGTATACAGTTGAAAGTGTTGTTTAGATTTGACCTCATATTATATGGTTTTTGGTAAATCTAAAGCAAAAATCTCAAGAAAATTGTATAATGTATGGCGAGCCTTAGGCTAGGTTCACACCGACTTGTGTGCATTCACAAAATGCTCATGTGTGAATGCAGCCTTATGAATTAGCCAGTTTCAATCAGAAAAATGGAAGCTCAAAAAAGGAGGCAACATCTGATGTCCTATCTCTTTAGCTAACCCATAGTGTTCTGGGAATTATTTGTCCTGTAGTAAATGTTTATTTCTAAAACAAAGACTGTATACATTATTAGGAAAGGTCTGGGCTGGGGGTAAAGAGGGACATATATATGTGGAGTTGGAGGCAATGAGTGGAGATACTCGCCAATTCATGCCTCTGTCAGATCTGCATTCAGTGGCAGCTTCTCGGCGTTCTATATTGCTTCCTGTTCAGATCTGCAATCACAGTACACTCTGGAATTGTTTTGCAACTGAATGCAGAGAGCTGCGAAGCAAGTCAATGCTGCAAAAATGCAAAACTGTGAAATGTGTTGTGCTCATTTGTTATGAGAAGCCAATAGATCAGGATTGTTTGGCATGGTATTTCATCTGGGTCTGTAAGTTTAAAGCAACAGTTATCTTAGCTTAGAATGTCCAGCTTCCTTTACAATTCATTCCCTACAATCCGTCCCAAAGAGTCCCCTTTTTTTAGCAATATATATACAAGTTTACAACAATATAACAGTTTCCCTTTAAAAATTATAATAAAAATGTTCATTTAGCACAGTGGCTAAATGGTTATCACTTCTGCCTGGCAGCACTAGGGTCGTTGGTTTGAATCCCAACCACGGCACCACCTGCCTGGAGTTTGCATGTTCTCCCTGTGCCTGTGTGGGTACTCCGGTTTCCTCCCACTCTCCAAAAGACGTGCTTGTAGGTTAATTAGTTCCTGTCTAAATTGGCCCTAGTATGTATGAATGTGAGTTAGAGACTTTAGATTGTACGCTCCTTGAGAGTTAGGGACTGATGTGAATGTACAATATATATATATATATATATATATATATATATATATATATATATATATATATATATATATATATATATATATATATATATACACACATGTAAAACACTGCTTACATTGATGGTGCTATAATAATAAGTACCTGTAATAAATTCTTGAAATACAGCTTTCCTCATAACCAAAACAAGACTGGGGAAATTACTTACACTATGTAACAATCACCCCCAAAAACATTCCTGTGTATGTTAGTAGCTGATTCCTGGTCAGCGGTATACGTCGCATAGATTTTAGCAAATGTATTCATTGGTAACTGGCTGGAATTGCTTGAAGCTAGTTCCAAGTGGAAGGCTTTGCCTTTTATTTCAATCAGATCAGCCTTGCACATGGGCATCATAATTTACTGAGGTTTATTCGGGAACTTGTGGTGCAAGGGGCCAAAAACTGTGTGTAAAGACCTGAGTAATGTTGAGTATAGGCGAATAAAGGTGTGTAAGTGTATAGGTGCGCATAGACAAGTAAAATTCTTCTTCATTGCTAGTATTGTGGCCCTTTATACACAGACGTCACAAGTTACCGAGTAAACATCAGTAAATTATGACACTCATTATGACACTCATGTGCAAGGGGCCTAAACGAGTAAACACACAAGTAAATCACTGCACTCAAATGAAAAATGTTCTATTTTTGTTTTACTGCTCTGTACTCATCGCTGTATTATTGATCTTTACTCGGCTATGTGCAATGTCTTATCATTTCATCTCATTTCAAATCAGTAAAAAACTAAGCTTTTTTTACTCCCATGTGCAACAGCCTTGCGTGTAAAAATGGGAAACTGTAATCTAGTAGCATCTAGGCATCTGTAATGAACCGCCTGGCGGTACCTCTAGTAACCCACCGGATAGGATTCCCCAGAGCGCGGAGTCTAAGTCCCGGTCTGCTTGTTCACCAGGTCCCCTGATGGTGGGGATGGACTTGGAGCAGACCGAGACCATTTTGCGGCCCCTGAGTACACCTACCCGTGGTAGAGGGATCCGCCAGAGGTATCTGCAGGGTGAGAGCCTGATGTGAAGAGGTGGATATGCCAGAGCAAGATGGATGGATGGATGAGTAGGAGCGTGGTCAGACAGGTCGAGTCGGTAGCCGTGGGAGCAGCGCGGTACAAGGCAGCGGGCAGAGAATGGTCAGGTCACACGCCAGGTCAGTAACAGGAGATCAGATCCAACAGGGGGCATCCAGGAGAGAGGTCAGGCGAGCCAGGGGTCAGAGTAGGAGAATACAGTACAGTCAGGGACAATCTGGGTCAGCAACAATCAGAATAATGAGTAATACAGGATCAGGAACACAGAGACCAAATGGCAATTCCTGTCAGCGCAGAGCGGATTTAAATACCGTGCCCTGCGCTATCATTGGTGCCAGGCGCGCACCCGCGCTCCTCCGAGTGCGCATGCGCGAGTTCCGTCTCCGCCGCGGCCAGCCAGGACCTAGTGCCCGTACACCAGCGTGAACCAGCACACTGCGCCTGCGCTGATCCGCATGTCACGGCGGCTCCTGACAGCATCTCTGTAGACTAGGTCTTTATTCAAGCATATTGACTTGCTTTATAACAGATCCTAATGATGCTGAAAACCTAGCAATATTGTGCATATTGTGGCACTCCTTTGCTTCTTAGTAATGCCACTGCTGGCTAACACCTCAGCTAGCCAGTTTCTCTCCTAGGGCAAATGTATATGAAACTGCTTGTCTCTTTCCTAGTGCAGAGCCTTAATATAAAAAAAAAAAGACAGGATTGTAGAAAAATTTAATACGTGAAAACATTTTATCAGTTTAAAATAAAATCCATTAGAAAGTAGACAAACACAACCCTAGCCCGATAACAATTAAAACTGATACAAAGAATCCCTAGTTCCATATTATTGTACAGAAATTTATGATTAGAGTACATGTGCACATCTCAGAGTGTGCAACTGCAAAATGTGGTATCTGTATAAATCACCCTCACAGAAAATGAAGTGAGACTGCTAGATATCGCTGTATTACACTCTTTTATAAACCGACACTCCCTACAACCCCCTTTAAAAAAATATGACATAATATTTAATGTTCCTTTTAGCAAGATTGTTATGAAATGTCTGACAACAAAAATAAGCAAAAAAGAATGAGAGGCACAGATGGTGCAAAAAATGTAATCATTTATGTTGTAGAAACCAATTTGATGACCATTTTCCTTCACTGTTTGTTAGTAAACACCAAAGAAAAGAAAAGAGAACTGAATACTGGCTGCCCAGTAGGCACCAATGGGTCACATGTGACTCTTGGGCCTGGGATGCGGTACCAAGAATGTTGCGTTTTCAGTCTTGGTTAAATAGAAATGTATTTAAAGCTGTACTACAGAAATACAGCCACTTTTAAAAATATTCTGCATTACGGGGGGTTAAATCCAATGAGATGTATTCCTGGTAGACTTACCTATTTAATGCACAATTTTTATTTTTAGTGCACGCTAAACGTACAGCTATAACTATACTTCCAGCGCTCTGACACCAAACCCTCTGATCTCAGTGTGAAAACATGCTGTAAATTAAGAAATCTTTCAGGAATAGAAGTGTTAATAGTTTATTTTTATAGAAAAAAAAATTAAATGAGTAAAAAAAAAAGAAAGTAAATGAACTGAATATCAGTCATCATCAGTTGATAAGAAGGACATCAGGCACCAGCACAGCATCATTGCTTTCCCTTTCCCTGCCACTAAAGTCAGTGGGACCCAAGTACACCTATCTACTGTCTGTAGAAGTCTGGCCAGAAGTGGTCTTCATGGAAGAATTGTTGCCAAAACCATACCTCCATCATGGAAACAAGGCTAAGTGACTCACCTATGCATAGAACATAGATATTGGGGTGCAGAAAAATGGCAGCTGGTGTTGTGGACCGAGGAGCCAAAATTTGAAGTATTTGGCTGTAGCAGGAGGCAGTTTGTTCACCGAAGGTCTGGCAAGCGGTACAATATTGAGTGTCTGCAGGCAACAGTGAAGCATGGTGGAGGTTCATTGCAAGTTTGGGGCTGCATTTCTGCAAATGGAGTTGGAAGTTTGGTCAGGATCAATGGTGTCCTCAATGTTGGTAAATACAGGCTGATACTTATTCATCATGCCATACCATCAAGGAGGTACGTGACTGGCCCCAAATTTATTCTGCAGCAGGACAATACCCCAAACATACAGCCAATATCGTTACAAATGATCTTTCTCATAAAGAAGAACAAGGAGTCCTGGAAGTGACGGTTTGGCCCCCACAGAAAAGTGATCTCAACATCATTGAGTCTGAGGATTACATGAAGAGACAGAAGATTTGAGGCAGCCTACATCCACAGAAAATCTGTGCTTAGTTCTCCAAGATGTTTGAATGTTTTGTATATCTAGAAGAATTGATGCTGCTTTGAAGACAAAGGGTGGTGACACCAAATATTGATTTAATTTGGATTTCTCTTCTGTTAATTTACTTTTCATTTTGTAATTAATAAACAAACTATTAACACTGTGGCAGATTTGCCCAGTTTCATGCAGAATTTCACATTTGCTTTGTTCTAACTTGCTGTCCATGATGAAATAGCAGACATGGTAATGCACTTGGTCAGAACAGGACCAGTTGCACAGCTCCCTATGTACACAGGATGATGTCTTTTGACACACTGACTTATGAAGGCCAGTGCTCCCTGTGACTGTGTGTGCAGCCTTGTGCTGCCATCTGTTGGTGTGTTACAAAACTAGTCTATAAACCTTTTGATACCACCTTGTACATGGAGGAAGTGGTGGAACCAAGGTCATTTTGTAGAATAATAGAGCAGAGGAGAAAGGTAATACAAGCATTGCTATACTCGACAAAGCAGATAAATGATCTATGCATACTGAGGCAGCTCAAGCTGCTTTCCTACACACTTGAAAGAGTCTAGTGTCTGGCGTATTTACCACAAGGAAAACAAGGCATTTGCCTAGGGCAGCATTTTTCAGGGGGGCTGCATGCTGCTTGATGGTGTATGCAGAGCCTGACTCGTGTTCCGGGGGATGTCTGGAGCTGTCAAGATGAGTGTCTTTCTCTCTATGGTCGGGGATGGTGGGGGGGAGATAGTGGAAGGCTCTCCTGGGTGGGGGGCAGGGGTGTTGTTGGTCAATGTTGTCTACGGAAGCACAAAACCTAAATACACCACTACCTAGTGCAGTGAACTGAACGCTGCAACCAACATTGAACCTTGTCCCCAAACATCTAGTACAGTGCAGTTCAAACAGCAATGACGTAGTGCAAAGTTCAGAACCCAGCACATCTCATTTCACCTGTCATAACAATGCAAGATGATTGCTACTTAGATGCTTAAGGCTTTAGGTTCTTGCCTGGTCTCACTTATAAACCGTAAACCTTTAAAGTGTATTTCAACCCTAACAATGAACTTCTGTTTTTTGCTCTCTTTTGGTCTGTTAAAAATACGATTGAAAGTGCTCAGTTATAAGTGCAAATATATCTTGCAAATTACCTTGTCAAAAATTCAAAACTGTCCTGTGTCTGTTTACACTTTCTTGATAGGCGAGTGGTTGGGTTGCCACCTCATCCCCTTTAAAACCGAACACATATTGATTACGCAGGTTCTGGGGCTAATTTAATGCAGGTAAGGCACTAAGTCAGTTTAATTACCACCTCAATCAGCCACAGAACCTGTAATTAATATGTGTTTGGTTGAGGGGCAACCCTAGCAAGTGGGTGAGTTTGAGTAGTTTAGCAAGGCAACTGAGCAGGGCTGACACCAGGCAGCACCCAGAAACTGTGTTGTCAGCCCACATCAGGACTTAAGAGCGAAGTACATTCCTGGCTGTTCAGCATGGTTTTTTCTGTACGTGCAAGGTCTTTACAGAGATTGAACATGGGGAAATAGGCATTTATTGCAAATATGTACTGCACATTTATATACGTGTATGTGTGTATAATATATATATATATATATACACTTTTTTTAGTGCCCTGACATGCTGTTTAAATTAATTTTCACTTTTGATCTGACCTAGGCATTATCAAATCCTGTCCTAGAGACCGTGCATCCAGCTTCCACATTCATCTTGACCAAACCCCCACCATTACGCATTACAAATGTGTGTCTGCCAGGAGGTTTGCACCACTTTGCTAGTCCGAATCTCCATTTAAATAATAGACAAGATGACTTCCTTCCAAATGACTCCGATAAATGTAAGTAAACAGCATTCCATTCAGCCCATGTCTCTTTTTTTTTTTCTAAATCGCATTCAAGTGCTCATATACCACACATATGTTAATGGATGTTAAACATGGCAAATCGTAATCATGGCACTAATTCAGGCTTTCATTCCAGGGACTCACTTGGAGCCCTGCGGCTGGCTCAGAGCTGAGCTGGGTGGCTCTTAAGTGCTAATTTCTGCACAAATTATTTTCTGCCAAGAGTTGTTGACATAATTGAGCAAACCTAAACATAGCTTTTTCTTTTAAGCACCCTGTATTAAAATCACAGAGACTAATTTCTAAACGTATGCTTAATGCTTAGAAACAAAAATGTCAATCAGCAGCAATTAAAGAAGGACAAAGATGTCAGCCTGCAGCAATTAAGCAGACATCCAAAACAGCCTTGCTGGGTATTAATGAAAATGTGTTTTTATAGATGCTTCATCAACACAGACATGGAGTGTGCTATACACACACAATGCTTTCCAGTGTGTTTCACATACACAGAGCCAGTAGGGTATCTGAATAAACACGGCTTTCAGAGCAGCAGGTACCAGAAGAACGGTTCTCAGGGAATTGTTTGTGTCAGGTACAAAGCTAGCAGGGTTCTGCCTTCTATATTTGAGACCTGGGGCTTATTGTTTTGTTATTTGCAGCACTTCATGCTTTCAACATTACCTGTAAACAATTTGTTTTTTATGCTGATGCTTGTTGCAGAGTGCCATACATAAGCACTTTCCTTTCCCTTTCTGCAAGTAAATGTGCAGTGTCATTTTTGCTTCTAGAACAGAGTCCAATCCACTGTACAGACATAAAGGATATGACAGCATTTCAACAATCAGCATTCACACAGCCACATAAAATGCAGTCTATCAGTATGACATGTTTTTACAAATCTGAATTCAAGTGATTGTTTCCTTTTGGGCTCATGCACACCTTTCCTAAAAATCGGTAATCCTGAATTGCTTTTAGACCTGTGAAATCTAAATCTGCGTCCGAGGTGTGTAATTTATGCATGTATGCATATAAATGCATGTACATGCATGCATTAGGGTTGCCATCTCATCCCTTTAAAACCGAAAACATATTAATTACACAGGTTCTGAGGCTAATTTATTGCAGATAAGGCACAAAGTGAGTTTAATTACCACTTCAATCAACCATAGAACCTGTGTAATTAATATGTGTTCGGTTTTAAAGGGATGAGGTGGCAACCCTAGCATGCATGTGTATATGTGTGCATGCACAAGTAAAATCTGCCAGTGAAAATAAACACAACAGTGTGAATATTCATATACCTGGAAATAACATTGCACAGGTCAAAAGACACTTCTGTGTACCATATGCACCGTGCCAGACAACATTTTACAGAGCTGACCAGATGCCGCACACCAGAGATATGAGCCAAACTGACCTCATCAATGCGGTTGAGCAGTACCATGAGCTGTGGGACCCCAAGCAACTAAAATATGCGGATCTCCCTAATGAGAAGAGGGATCACCTACGTCAGAGCGAAGCAGCAAAGAGGTAAATACTATCTGTGTATGTTGACATGTAATGTTACATTTAAAATGTAGAAAGTTTACTGAAGAAAATCGTAAAACACTGGTGACCTGTGCTTAACTTCCCGTCCCGTCCCCGGTGTGCAGATGTATTGCACATTGCCTGTGCTGTTTCCTATTGACTTCAGAGCCTTCTGTCCCTGGTTAACCTGTAGTCAAAGCAGGACACATTCACACACAGCATGGACATATACATGTCGCTTAAATGCAAGGCAGCCAGTGCTTGAAACAACTGACATTTACTTAACGTATATTGCGTCCACAGTCTGATGTAGCATCGCATGGCACAGCTTTCCTCCCTGTAGAGATCAGAAGTTTTGACATTATGGGTGACACAGAACAGGAATTAGGCCATGTACTCAGAATTTTCAGACCATGAACCTGACCATGCAGAGTGTAAACCTTGCTAAGGAGTGCAACAATGTACTGCAAGCACCAAAACATGTTTGTGGGGACTGAGAGTTTGGTGTTGTGCGTTTCCTTTACCCCTGCCCAGTTTGCAGTTAGTATCTAAAACTTGAACTAGGCTTTGATAACAGAATGTTATTTAAGGCATTGTGTTTTGACATATCTGAAAATTTCAGGTAAGGCGTTCAACAGGCGGTGGAGAGAGCTCCGTTTCCACCATGACATCACCAATGAACAGCTGGCCCAGAGCAGAGCCCCAGCAAGAGGAGCACATTGCAGATGTCATCCTAAGGCCAGTGAGCAGACATTTCCCGAAAGGCCCATGGAGTCCAGGGAGTAAGTAGATATTGATTATTTAAAGTATGAGGTTATAGATGTTAGGCTAGACCAGGGGTCTCCAAACTGCGGCTCGAGGACTAGATGTGGCCCTTTGCTTGCCTTTATCCGGCCCTTGGGGAACTATTCCTTCCACTGATATGAGGAACTATTTCTTCCAATGACAGCAAAGGCAGGGCACTATTCCTCCCACTGATACCATAGACGGTGTATTAATTCTCCCACTGACACAATAATTTCATTGTTTTTTACTCCCACTGACCACCAAGCCTATGGCATTGTTTGCGCCCACCGATGCCAGGGCATTTTCTACTTCCTCTGGACAAAGTCCGGCCCCCCTAATATCTAAATGGCAGTACACTGATCCTTTATTTTGAAAGTTTGGAGACCCCTGGGCTAGATCATATATGAATAAAGATTATATTTACTGCATTGTATATTGATAATCCAGTGTCAATGTAGATGCATTTGTTTAGTGTTCTTCATTTATATATTGTTATTTAGAAGCACAACAGGCAGTTAGATTGAGTAGGTAGAGGAACAGGAAGGTGAGGAGACTGAAGAGAGGCCCTCACATCCTTTGACACCAGTAGACTCCTTGGAGGCACACCTGCCTCCACGGAGTATACAGAGTATGTATCTCTCTCTATAGAAATCTCACTTTCTGTATGTCTGTTGATACATGTAGGTACATATCTGTATCTATCATGCTAGTCTAGCCATATGTCTTGATGATAACTTTAACAACTGTTCTATTTCTGTAGGGTACTAAAGGAAGAGAAGAAGGCACCAGTCTGGTGGTGAAGGGAACTGCAATGTGCATGCTGATGGCAGGCTTACATCATCAGTTAATGAAGACATCTTCTGAATTATGAGAGAGATCCTACATGCCAGCTGATGGCCTAGTCACCCCAGGATGCCTTCCTTAATTATGTAAACTGATATGCTTTGTACCCCAGTATCTGGCCCATCCTGGAAAATCTTTCCAATGAGTGGGCTATGCAAGTTGCTGATGACATTTAATGCTTGTTGGCAGCCTGCATGTCTTGTAGTAAATTTTGTTTGAACTCTTTATATTCTGTCTTTTATTTATTCCTAATGAAAGTTCATGTTTCAGCTGACATTAATAGCAGGGAGATGCATGTAATTACTGGGGTTAACTAGTACAAAGGTTGGCCAATGACTCTTGGACAGCGTGTGGTTTTTCCCTTTCACCTAAACTTATGCAGGCCATAGATGGGTCGAAAATCGGCCTATTTTACGTCCGAAAATAAAATCGGCCGATTTTCGGATCGTTAGTGGGCTAAATGTTCGGCCGTTTTTTCGGTATTTTGGCAGATTTTTTTTATCAGTAAAGTTGGAAAAAAATCGGCCGATTTTGCCGATCGGCCGATTTTCGCGGCAATGATGGGCAAATCGGCCGATCTTTTACCGATAAAAAATCTGCGCATGACCAGTGACCTGCAAGAGGAAGACAAAAAGAGGAAGAGGATGAAGAAGAGGATGAAGAAGAAGATGAAGAAGAGGAAGAAGAGGATGATGAAGAAGAAGAGGATGAAGAGGATGAAGAAGAAGAGGATGAAGAGGGTGAAGAAGAAGAGGGTGAAGAAGAAGAGGATGATGAAGAAGAAGAGGATGAAGAAGATGAAGAAGAGGATGAAGAAGAAGAGGATGAAGAAGAAGAGGAATTCCAGTCCGGCAAAAAGTGTCCCTGCAGAGAGCTCCGCTATTTCTTTGACAGTTCCTTGCATTTATAGCGGTTGCAACAATGTATCTATTTGTTTCCGAATAAAAAACATCTGTATCCTAAATGGATACAAATAGATACATTGTTGCAACCGCTATAAATGTCAAGGAACTGTCAAAGAAATAGCGGAGCTCTCTGCAGGGACACTTTTTGCCGGCTGTAGACGGGATGAAAATCGGCCGATTTTTTTTTTTTTTTTTACCGTTGCTGGTAACGTCGGCTGCTTGAACGACCGATTTTTCATTTTTTTAAAAGAAAAATCGGCCGATTTGCGAACTGTCTATGGCCTGCATTACACTCTGTAGGAGCCAACTAGTTTCTGTTGTACAGGGTAAGGCTCATAATCATTTGCAATGATAGCAATGCCTGTCAGACAATGCATCCGTGAGCAAATGCGCCTTGCTGACAGACTGTGCACACTAACCTCATGGTTAGCACCAAAACATTGGTGGAAGGGAGACTTAGCACACAGTCAGAACACATGCGTGTCTTTTGCTTTGCACAAACTACTATGTGGATTGAAGTCATTTTAGATTTTGTATGTATCAAAAAAGAGTAGTAGAATATAAGAAAAATTGTATGTACATGTATGTAATTGGATGTTTACACATGTAAATGCATATGCTGTACAGACTAGTACTCTGTAAATATCAGGAAATTATTGAGCAATGTGCATGAGCCCTTCTAACTCTCAGCCACTGTGCTGGGTGCACTGAGTGAGCATGCTCCTACCATAAACCGGTGTTCCGGCTGTATGCATAAGTGTGTTAAGGCCCACCGCCATGCTGACACATATCCTGTATGTGTATTGCAGGAGTAAAGGGATTAACCATGTATATTATGTATATATGTGTAAGTTAAATGAGATTTTAGTGGTTGGGTTTACATAAATTTATTATATTTATTTTATTATTGTTATTATAATTATTACTCTTATC